TATGGAACCAAAAGAGAGACCTCATAGCCAAGAGAATCCTAATAAAAAAAATAAAGATGGAGGCATCACACTACCTGACTTCAAACTATACCTAAAACTACAGTAATCAAAAAGCATGGCACTAGTACCAAAACAGAGATATAGACCAATGGAACAGAACAGAGGCCTCAGAAGTAATGCCACACACCTACAACCATCTTATCTTTGACAAACCTGACAAAAACAATTAATGGGGAAAGGATTCCCTATTTAATAAATGGTGTTGGGAAAACTGGCTAGGTATATGCAGAAAGCTGATACTGGACCCCTTCCTTACACCTTATACAAAAATTAACTCCAGATGGATTAAAGATTTAAACATAAAACCTAACACCATAAAAATCCTAAAAGAAAATCTAGGCAATACCATTCAAGACATAGGCATAGGCAAGGACTTCATGACTAAAACACCAAAAGCAACGGAAACAAAAGCCAAAATACACAAAGGGGATCTAATTAAAAAGTGCTTCTGCACAGCAAGAGAAACAATCATTAGAGTGAACTGGCCACCAACAAAATGGAAAAAAAAATTATAATCTACCTATCTGACAAAGGGCTAATATTCAGAATCTATAAAGAACTTAAACAAATTTACAAGAAAAAGCAACCCCATCAAAAATGGGCAAAGGATGTGAACAGACACTTCTCAAGAGAAGACATTTGTGCAGCCAACAAACAAATGAAGAAATGCTCATCATCACTGGTCATTAGAGAAACACAAATCAAAACCACATTGGGATACCATCTCACACCAGTTAGAATGGCGATCATTAAAAAATCAGGAGACAACAGATGCTGGAGAGGATGTGGAGAAATAGGAATGCTTTTACACTGTTGGTAGGAGTATAAATTAGTTCAACCATTGTGGAAGACAGTGTGGCAATTCCTCAAGGAACTAGAACTAGAAATACCATTTGACCCAGCAATCCCATTACTGGGTATATACCTAAAGGATTATAAATTTTCATATTATAAAGACATATGCACATATATATTCATTGTGGCACTGTTTATAATAGCAAAAACTTGGGACCAACCCAAATGCCCATTAATAATAGACTGGATAAAGAAAATGTGGCCCATATACACCATGGAATACCATGCAGCCATAAAAATGGATGAGTTCATGTCCTTTGCAGGGAAATGGATTAAGCTGGAAACCATCATTCTCAGCAAACCAACACAAGAACAGAAAACCAAACACCACATGTTCGCCCTCATAAGTGGATGTTGACCAATGAGAACACATGGACACAGGGAGGGGAACATCACACACCAGGGCCTGTTGGGGGGTGGGATAGCTAGGAGAGGGACAGAAGGGAGTGGGGAGATTGGGGAGGGATAACATTAGGAGAAAGAACTAATGTAGATGACAGTGGGATGGATGCAGCAAACTACCATGGCATGCGTATACCTACATAACAAACCTGCACAATCTGCACATGCACCCTAGAACTTAAAGTATAATAATAAAAAAGAAAAAGAAAAAAACAAGTGTGTAAAATAGTTTGAGGCCAATTACGTTGTATGTTTGTGACTGTCTCTGTAGGTATTTCCATGTAAATGAAATAAAAAGCTCTATTATTGCTAAAAACAAACAAACAAACAAAAAACATGCGTGAAAAGAATGCTTAATATCACACTTAGCAGGGAAATGCAAATTAAAACCACAATGAAATATCACCTTACTCCTAAAAGAATGGCCATAATTCAAAAGTTAAAAAATAATAGATGGTGGTGTGGATGTGGTAAAAAGGGAACACTCTTACACTGCTGGTGAAAATGTAAACTAGTACAACCACTATAAAAAAATGTATGGAGATTTCTTAAAGAACTAAAAGTAGAACTACCATTCCATCCAGCAATCCCACTATTGGATATCTACCCAAAGGAAAAGAGTCATTCGTGAAAAAGACACACGCATACTTCTGTTTACAGCAGTACAATTCGCCATTGTAAAAATATGGAACTAACTTAAATGCTCAACTAACGAGTGGAAAAAGAAAATGTGGTAGATATACATCACAGAATAGTTCTCAGCCATAAAATGAAACAAAATAATGGCATTTTCAGTGACCTGCATAGAACTGGGGGCCACTCTAAGTGAAGTAACTCAGGAATGGAAAATCAAGTATCTTATGTTCTCATTTATAAGTAGGAGCTAAGCTTTGAGGATGAAAAGGCATAAAAATGATATAATGGACTTAGAGTACTTGAGGGAAAGCGTGGGAAAGGGGTGAGAGATAAAGACTACATATTAGATATGGTGTACACTGCTTGGGTGATAAGTGTACCAGAATTTTAGATATCACCACTCAAGAACTTATCCATGTAACCAAAACCACCTGTACCTCAAAAACTATTGAAATAAATAAATTTAAAAAATAAATAAAAATTAGCTAAGAATTTTAATAGAAAATTATCCAAAAAGGCATGTTAATGCCCCTCAGGTATATTAAAAGATGTTTCAGGTTACTAATCATTAGGAAAATGCAAATTAAACCACAATGAGATATCACCTCACACCTGTCAGGATGGCTATTAACAAAAAACAAAAGACCAGTGTTGGTGAGGATATGCAGAAATTGAAACCCTTTCACATTGTTAGTGAGAATGCAAAATGGCACAGCTGTTATGGAAAACAATACGACTATTCTTCAAAACATTTAAAATAAGACTACCTTATGATCCAGTAATTCTGTGTATTTATCCAAAAGTACCGAAATAAGAATCTCAATAAGATATTAGCATGCATATGTTCATTGCAGCATTATTAACAATAGCCAAGATATAAAAACAACCTAAATGTCCATCAACAGATGAATGGACAAAAAAAGTGTGGTATATATTCAGGCAATAAAATTCCATTTAGTCTTAAAAAAGAAGAAAGTTCTGCAATATATAACAACATAAATGAACCTCGAGGACATTACGCTAAGCAAAATAAACCAGTTATAAAAAGACACATGTCACATGATTCCACTAGACAAATTTATAAAATCAAAGACTGGAATAGTAATTACCAAGGTGGAGAAAAAATACTGAAGTTTTACTAATCATAAAGCGTAAATTACAGTCAAGCAAGATGAAGATGCTCTAGAGTTCTCCTGCACATCATACCTATAGTCAACAATAATAAGTTATACACGTACAAATATATTAAGACAGTAGATCTCATGTTAAGTGTTCTTGTCAGAATAAAACAAATCAAAGTGAACAAACTAACAATTCAATTAGAAAATGAACAAAGAGACGTTTCACTGAAAAAAATATACAGATGTCAAATAAACACATAAAAAATGTAAAACATCATTAGCCATTAAGAAAATGCATTTACAAACTACAATGAAGTATCATTTTACATCTATTTGAATGGCCAAAATAAAAGTAGTGACAACACAAAACGCTAGCAGGGATATAAGAGAAACTGCATCATTTATGCATTGCTGGTAAGAATGTAAAATGTTATAGTCATACAAATAGGAAAACAATTTGGCTTTTTTTTTCTTTTGGTCTAAAACTAAATAGGCAGTTACCATATGGTTCAGTGATTGGAGTCCTGAACATTTATCCCAGAGAAATAGATTAATGTTTGCATTAAAATCTGTGCATAATTATTTATAATAGCTTTCTCACAGTCATCAAAAAGTGGAAACAACCCACATGCCCCTCAACAGGTGATTGGTTCATCTGTGATATATCACGATACTGCTCAGGCATAAGAGGGATGAACTATCGTTACACACAATAGCCAGAATTAATCACTGGAGTTCAGTGCTGAGGGAAAAGGCCAATCTTCAAAAGTTACATACTATATGTATTCATTTGTATAGCAGCTGAAATGACAAACTTATGGAAATGTAGAACAGATTAGTGGCTGTCACAGATTAAAGAGGAAGGGAGAGGAAGTGGTTATAAAAAAAGCAACATCAGTGATTTTTGTGATGATGGTAGCCTTCTGAATCTTAACTGAATCTTGACAATGTCAATATCCCATTTATGATATACTGTTTTCCTTGATGTTTCCGTTAGAGAAAACTTGGTAAAGGACACATGAGATCTCTCTGTATTATTTCTTATACTGCATATAAATCTATAATTCTCAAAAAAAAAGTTATGTTTTAAAATAAGGGAAGCCTTTGAGAGCATTTGATAGGAAGCCTTAAAATGCTTGAACATGTGTGGCAAGGTGCCCACACATGATCCAAAAGACTCACAGATAAGAGGAGCAGATAATTTGAATTACATGCTGTATAGGCTTTAAGCTATATTTTTGCAAGTCTAAGCCTTTCCTTATGTCATTACATTAAAGTGAATAAATCTCTACAAAGAGTTCTTGGTAAATTCCCAATTTTTAGGGTTACTAGGCACAGTTCCCAAGGTCCTAATAACATTATTGTTTTGTAATCACTCTCTCAAAAGCTGTCAAAATTTACATTAACTCAAGATCACACTGATTACTTGTTCATTTCTTTATTGAGAAACCCAATCCTGCATTTAAGAGGATGTCTATAAACTGTGGAACTATTTTGTCCAGTAGGCCCTTCTTCCTACAATTATATTTTATTGAAACTTCAGCCAATGTCAAGACATAAGAAGAATTTTTTCAGATCAGTGTAACATGAGGATTTAAGGGAATCTTTACAAAATCTACAATCTGCAAGGAATCTAACTTGTAAGGAAAGGTCTTTAACCATGATATCTTTGACTCACAGACAGATCACAGATTATGGAATTAAGATCTGAGTCCTGCCTTCAGATCTGGTTGGTTCCATAATCTTGGACAAGTCACTTACATCCTTGGACTTTAATTTTTTATATGTAAAACTGTCAGGATTAGTTATTTTCCTTCATCTTCTTTCACTAGAAAAAGGTCTAATATTACAGATAGAAACACTGACTACCTAGGAAAATAATCAAATTGAAGAGAAGAAAATGAATCCATTCTGCCTGTTCCTCACCTGAGTAGCAGCTAATGTATCTCCAGAATCCCCTCGGGCAGCCATAGCATTCTTTTCATTGATCCAAGCCTCCTCTTCCTCAGCATTCTGCATGAATTGCAAGTATTCTAGGGATTCTTCCAACTGAAGTCCTCTATAATGGAGTGGCAAGCCCCAGTGAGGAGAAGAACAAACCGGTAAGCAGTGGGAGTACAACAGGGTGGCACAATCTCATTAAGACAAATCAGCTTATTCTCAAAAGGCAGCCACAGTTAAATTGGGCCTCGACACAGTATGATATGTGCCTACTGGTCAGTGGTAAAGATCTGCTGTAAAATGGAGGAGACTCCTGCCCTAGAAGTTCATTTTGTGGCACCATCTACTCTCCAGGAAACTTTGTTGGAGAGAGGAAACCCTGGCCAAAAACAAACAAACAAACAAACAACAACAACAACAAAAAAAACAAAAAAAGGAAATGGTGACTTCAGTGTTGAAGAGTATCAGCAGTGACACAATGTCTCTTTCTACTCTGAGCACTGCCTCCTTTCTTATATGATGAAGACACCACATAGCGCCAGAATCTCCCTTTTATCTCCCCAGGAAAAAAAAATGTCTTCCTATAAGCAAAAGACAATGGAATTACAGACAAAACTTATTATATTTGGCTATATGTGTGATATGGTTTGGCTCCATGTCCCCACCCAAATCTCATCTCGAACTGTAATCCCTATGTGTCAGGGGAGGGACCTGGTGGGAGGTGACTGGATCACAGGGGCAGATTAGTGAGTTCTCACAAGATCTGATGATTTAAAAGTGTTCGGCACCCACCGCCCACCTCAACCCTCTGTTTTGCCTTGGTAAGATGTGTTTGTTTCCACTTTGCCTTCTGCCATTACTGTAAGTTTCCAGAGGTTTCCCAGTCATGCCTCCTGTAGAGCCTATGAAACCGTGAGTGAATTAAAGCTCTTTTCTTCATAAATTACCCAGTCTCATTGTTCTTTATAGCAATGTGAAAACGAACTATACGTCGTGTATGTGGTTCAAACTGACTATATGGCTATAGGGAAAAATGATTCTTCGTCCAAGGGCTGCATATAATATAAAAACTGGGAGATAAAACAGATGTGTGGCTAATAACTTGATATGAAGGATAACACATGTAGGAAAACAATAATAAAAGACAGCTGCATGTAAATGCAGAAGGAGAGGTAGATTTAGAACAGACACAGTGATGATCACTGTTCCTGGAGTATATGGGGGAAAGCTTCATGGTAGACTTGGCATTTGAGAAGTGACTTAACGAGGTAGATGGGTAGCTGGGGAGGGTAGACAATGCTGAGCAGGCACTTAAGTATCCTCCCAACACCTGCCCAATATCCAAAATCCAGGAAGAGAACTGGGCCTTCTATACCCCACTCACCGGGCCTTGGCCAACTCTTTGAGCTTCTCCCAATGTTTAACAAACTGAGCCAGCCGCAACTGGATCTCCTCTTGCCCCACAGCAGCCTTGTCTTTCAGCTCCTCCGCCATATCCAGCACATTCTGAAGAACACCCCCCATTCATGTTGCATTACTCCACAATCTCTCCCCATTTAGCCACAGTTCCCTAGCAAAGAATCCAGCCCAACCTACCCCCAGATTATTTATAAACTCCACGTGACTTTGTGAGGGTTCTGAAAGTCCAGGGAGAATAATGAAAGCTGCAGCAAGATTTACTATGCTAACCTGTCCCAAGTATTTTGGTAAATACATCAGTACTTGTAGTAGGCTCCTCTCCATAATCTGCTTTTTGGTCTGTTCATGGTCACAGGGTAATCCTGTTGCCAAGTCAGACCCAGAGTTCCTTGCTCCCAGATGGCTCAAGTACAGTTTTCCCAGATGTCCCAACCTGCATCCCATTTGTCAATCACTGCCCAGGAGTGGTTAGAAATGCTCCTTTTATAGGATACTAAACGTGGAAGAGAAAAGAATATTTGTACACTCTTTGACCAACTCTCTCTGGCCTTGACATCTTACTTTCACATTTTATAGCACCCTCTTATTTATCTGTAACACGAGGGGTTGCTGTAAGATGATTTCTATATTTTCAGGTCTGGTATTCTATTCCTACCTGGATAGCAGGCTCATGTGCCACCAGCTCCCCCTCTAGGCGTTTGTGCTTCTTCAGCAAGTTCTGAACGCCCTGAAGATCTCTCCCATAGTCCTGGGAGCTCACTTGTATCAACTTCTCTCTGGAATCAAGAAAGAAAACAAAGTTTAGAGTCTAGACATCTAAGGTCACCCTACGGCAATGGCTTTCTAAGAGTATGTGTGTTGCTGGTAGTGAGGGTGGTTGTAAATTCTTTAATACTCTGTTGCCAATGACCAAAAATATAATTAGTAGAAGAGGCTTGCAGTAAAACTTCTGACTTAGCTAATACAAATTAAAATAACATACTGATCTCCACCATATGCACAACCGTAACAGCCTTTGCATTAGTCCTTTTGCCTGTCTACCTGTGTATCTTCTCTTTTTTGCTCAAGAATATACACTAATGTTTCCTTTTTTAAAAAAATGTGCAAATTATATATGACCTCTGTGGCTTTTGTTTTTTTTTTGTCTATTAATATCAATAATAAATTCAGATAGAATGGGTCTAAAGAGCTGATTTTATAGTAGTCACGGCAGTTGGGATGCTTCCAAGTGTAAAATGTTTGAGCGTCACCATGAAGCACAGTCAAAGACTACATGGACAAGATTATTCTGTCTTACGGTTTCCAAAAATATTTTTAAAACATATTATTTATTGCTCCATGCACTGTGCTTCCCTCTAATTTATTGATTACTCATAAGAATCAGCAGCTTTGTGGAAGAGAAGCATGATGAGGCAGGTTAAATAGGAAGTGGGCAAAATAATGTGATTTGCTAAGATTTTCTCAATCATATTTTACAACAAAAATAGAACAAGTAATGAAACCATGGCAGACACTTTGTAACATTCTCTATTGAGTGTCCAACTCAGTGTCATATAAGACACACTGGATATAAAAAGAATCATGACAAGGATCTGATCAGCTGTGTAAACACCCAGCTCTGTGAGTATTGCATATCATTCTATGAACTATCTAGAACAAACGCAGATGGCTTCTAGATAGATCCTGTCATGTATGTTAACTGCTCCTCACTTTTTCCACACCTGTCTTTCTCTGGCTTGAATACAGTAAGGACATTTGGGAAAAATGAAACTAATGTTAACTTTAAGCTGAGGCAAAAGTGAAGTAATACTAATTTCAAGAAACAATTACACATTTCCTTTCAGCACACATTGGAACAAGTTTGGTCAATTATCTACTCTCTTGAATTATCCACACATTTTGAGCTGGTGACACATACTGTATCCAGGACTCCTCATCATCTAGATCCTGGAAGAACTGGAACAAGGCATAGGCCTCTTTCAGTTTTTCATGGTGTGCAGTTGCCAAGTCTTGGACATTCAGAAAACGCTCGTTGACACTATCTCTTTTCTCTGTAATCTGGTCAACATTGAAAGTCCCGCTGGAGAGCAGATCTGCAGCCAATGTATTCAGGTCCTTGAGTGCATCCTAAAAGTCCCAGGATATTCAGTGAACAGTATAGTACAGGCATTACTCAGCTCTCACACATTAACAATGGTGGTCTGGGTCAAAGATTGGGTCAAATAGATTGGTTTTAAAGATATAGAATTTGATTATGTGTTATACGTGTTAACATATGCGCAGATTGGAGAAGGGCCATATGTGAGAGGAATAGAGATAGCATGGCCACATTATTCAAACTGTACATGTAGCCTCTGGGTCCTGTTTCTCTTTCTGATGTTTTCAGTATTTGCCTTCTCTTTCCAATTAAAAAAAGAAAATCCTGGTGGGCAATTGTTTGTCCCCATACAAAACTGTATTCCTTCACAGTACTGACTTTGACAGCCACAGTACTGACTTTGACAGATTGATTAAATATTCAACAAGAACTACTCTGTTGGTAACATTCTTAGCTGCCCATTGAACACAACTGTCTCTTCTGTGTCTACTCCTATTCTAATCCAGCCCCTCAGTGATGTCATAGGAAACATCACCAAGTCCCAAGACCTTTGACTTCTTCCTCTTCTGTGTGTATCTGTATTATCAAGTATAACTGATAATTATAAAATTCTTTAGTATAAAATTAACAACTGTCAGGATTTTTATCACTGCTGTTAGGACAAATTTTTGGTTGGTATTAGGATGCAACTGGAATCCTTGACAGGATTTCCAGGGTGTATGTGTAGCTCAACTTCATTTCACATGCCCCCATTTGACTTTTTGTTTGTCATTCTATAAACATCCACTTTCTTTCAAAGACCAGATTAAATACATAGTTTGAAAGATAATTGGTTTATATGTATGCATCAGTAAAAGATTAAAAAAATAGTTTTTAGGGTCTATTTCCTGGAATCTTAGAGTCTATAGTTTAGTGATAATTGATTATCAGTGACAGTTTTAATGGCTTCACAGGCCATTAATTTTACCCAATTAAAATGACTGCTGGTTGAGAACATTAAGAACAATTTTGCAAGACTGTGTTTTCAAATAGTCTCCTAAGACAGGAGGGAGAAAAGCCAGAAACATTTCTATTGTGCCCAGAAGAATGGGATGCCAGCACTACTTACCTCTCGAGCCATCATCTCTGTCTCCAATAGCTGATGCTTCTTGAGTAGGTTTCCTGCTGAAGCCAAGTCCCTGGCTTGATCTTTCATGGCCAGTAATGTCTCTGCCTGGAAAAACAGAAATAAGCAATAAAGCTGCCAGGTGAAACCACCTTTAAGGGGAATAAGATTAGCAGCTATGTCCCCAGACTTTCCTCAAGAAAGGTCAAGGAAATTGCCCATGTATAAATTCATTTGTCTGACAAGTACGTATTAACCTCTTGTGCAATTACCTCTGAGAGCCAGAACTCAAAGTCCCGGATGCTTGTGTTGAACCTCTGTTGACGACTGGCCTCATTGAGCTTCTGCCCTTTGTCATTTGTTCTCTCAAGCAGGTGATCCCAATGTTCCTTCAGCTCTTTCAGTTGCTCCTAACCCAAGCACAGTGAGGAGTCATTACAATCTGTAGGATCCTGGGTCCTGTGACTACTTGAGAGAATAATGTAGGAAGGCTGTGAAGGCAGGGACTAGCCAAAATTTACTGATACTTCAATATCATACATTTCAAACCAGTTATACTTAATCTGGGAAAATAATAGGGGTTGTTGGACAAAAGAGAAAGTTTGAAAAAAGGGTTCTGTGTTGAGTAAAGAGACTGACACCCAAATGCCAAAAGACTATTGGCAGAAGGGATAGAAAATGTAAAACAAGCATAAGCCTTTGGGATTAAGCCTAAAGCTTTCTTAGAGTTCCAGGTACTGAGTATGCCGGGAGTAATAAGGTCTAGGCATCACTGCTTTTCTCCTTCTTAGTGCAACCATCACAGGAAAGACTGTTCTTCTGTGACATGGTCACAGAACATATTTTATATCTCTACTCATGGAACATTGAAAGAGTATACGATTCCTCTTTGCCTTTGTAGCCCAAAACGCATCCTGAGCTTTACCTTCACGGCCTCTTCATTGCCATCACAAGCGCTCCGCTCAATCAGGGAGCTTCCCAGGTTGATAACGCCATCCACCTGGTCAGCTCGGCCATGGACTTCATTTGCAAAGGTCTGGTGTTTCAGGTATTTCCTCTGAAGGGAAAACAAAACAGAAATTATATTTTTATTTAGGGAGACAAGAAAAGGTAAATTATAGTTAAAAGGAAGGGGTGATATTTCTATCATAACCAAGGTGATGGTGACTTCTGAAGAACCTGCTCCACATCAGAGTCTTAAGTCTCTGAGAGTGGGCATGGTAGTCTCAAGAGTCAGAAAGTGTCAGAGTAACAAGGGTGATGACCATCCAACCAACAAGCTCGGAATGGTGAGATCTTGCAAGGTTTCTGTTTTGAACTTGCCTGAATGTTAGTGGGGTCTTTGTAGGATTCATCACAGGCTGTGGGCAGCATTTCACTGATCCATGCTTCCAGCTCTTCAAGGTCACGGTAGAATTGTTTTAGGTCAGCATAGTCTCCAAGCTTTGTCCGCTCAGCAATCAGTTGTGCTTTGAGAGCCTTCCATCTAGAGGAGGGGACCAGATCACTCTATGCCCTCCTCCATTATTCCCATGCTCTGATGCCACATCCATAAATCTTCCCATTGGCCAACATGCCTCTTTTCTTCTCACACAGTATTGTTATTATCAGACATAAAATGCAGTGGTAAAGCCAGTAATTTCTAAGCTATCTTTTATGTCTTCCATTCTATAAATCTAAGTCAGAAAGTCTGCATAGATGTCAAGATAGCTTTAGGCATCTGGAAATGACAGGAAGTCAGAGTACCTCCCAATTCAATGCTAGCAAAGAGGTTAGTTTGCTACCTCTTCCTGTAGCACATAAAACAATCACTCAGGCCTGACCTGTCTAGCACACGTTGGAGCCGAGTAGCAATCTCTTCCTTGGCATAGTGTTCATCAGCAATGAGGCGCTCAGCAAAATGTTCTAGGTCAGTGATCTTCCCTTCCTAAATAAAGGAAAAGGAAAGAGCCCAGATTCCTGGAGATTAGGCCCTTGGTGCAATCCCAGACTCCCTCCTAGAAAAGAACAGGGGTATCCTTTGTGGTCCAGGAGATACACTCAGGATCAAACAATAAATGACTTACAGGGAGGTGAATTTCAACTTAACAGAAGGAGAGACATATGACAATGGGCTACTTGTACTGAGTTCCCTAAAGAACAGACACTTCTTACGACCATTGTAGAGGGTGAATCCTGTATTGAGTGAGATGTCTGAATAGTATATAAAGTCATTTTCAATCCTAAAAGTCAGATTTTAGATTGCTGGATTTAAAGTAAGAAAGTCCACTTGCTGCCTGTGACTTGGGTGAATCAATGTCAAGTGTCAGGCTGCCCTGCCTGCCTCAGTTTTTCTTTAAGAAGCAAACAGGAATCAGAGCTGCGTGCAGTGGCCCACACCGGTAATCTTAGCACTTTGGGAGGCTGAGGTGGGTAGATCACTTGAGATCAGGAGCTTGAGATCAGCCTAGCTAACATGGTAAAACCCCATCTCTGCAAAAAGTACAAAAATCAGCTGGGCGTGGTGGCAGGTGTCTGTGATCCCAGCTACACAGGAGGCTAAGCCAGGAGAATCGCTTGAACCCCAGAAGCAGAGGTTGCAGTGAGCCGAGATTGTGCCACTGTACTGCAGCCTGAGCGACAGAACGAAACTCAACAAAAAAAAATGTGATTCAAAATGTTTACAAATTATAAAACCAGACAAATGTTTATAAATTATCAAACCAGACAGATGTGTAGAATTTCTGTTATTCTTACTACTGATTATTATTTTAATTTCTTTACCAGTTGTTATTACCTGGGCAGTGATTGCTTTGTCCAAATCGTCCCGTTTCTTCATCAGGGTCTCCAGACTATCTAAGAGACCTTTGTCCTCTGACCTCAGGGAATTCTCACGTGCCACCATCCAGCTCTCAATTTGATCACAGTTCCCTTGAAACATCTATGGGGAATTAAATGAGAGGCGTATGGTACAGTCCAGGTGGTATGGAGGATATGATGTTCCACCTCTTTCACAATTGTGACACAAAGGGTTTTGCAAGGAGTTCTTACCATCTTCCAAGAAACACTCATATGACAAATCTTACCTGTACTGGAACCTTTCCTCTTTCCCAAACACACGCTTGATGTTTATGTATAAGCTGCCTCCAATTTCTGGGGTGCTATTTCCTATTACTTAAACCTTGTTAATATTGGTTGGTCATTTCCTTAAGACTCTGTCAAATGTTATCCTTCAGGATAGGCTGTGACACAACCACTCATTTCCCCTAAAAACTGTAATCACTTATTTCTCTTTAGCTGGAAAGCACTCATACATTATGTTTTATTAATGATCATCTCACTGTAGTAGAAAAATATGTCTATATGTCTAATTTCACTATTTAAGAAATGGGACACCATCTTACTAATCTTTGTGGCACCCAGAGCCTCCACAGAGTAGTCTCAACAAAAATCAGCCAATCAATTCCTCAGTCAATCAACAAATGATAAGCAACCCAGCACATGTTCAGGACTGATCACCATCCTGTTTGGCTCTTCTAACAGGAAAGAGCAGAGAATATGACAACGATTCGTATAGAAAGCCTAGTACGATGCCAGATAATCAAGAGATGAGCTCCCTTTGTGTTTATAATGTGGAAAGTCTGGTGAGCTGAGCCTGTAATGACCACATAAAATGGCATAGAAGAAACAGACTACTCAACCTGCTTAACAACTGGGAATTTGCTGTACCTGCAAGTCCAGGCACTGGTCTAGGAACTTCTTGCGTTGTTCCCAAGCCTTCTCCAAATCATCTCTCTCTAGCCTGACAGCTTGAAGCTTTTTTTCAATTTCAGGGCTGGCACGGTGCCCACTGTCTATAAGTTCTGCACCAAAGTCCTCTAAGGCTTGGAAGGAGGGAGCCTCTGCCTCCATGTCAGCACGGTGCTCCTGTGGGAAAAAGGGGGAAGAAATCAGTGAGGCCAATTCCATTGGAGATTTTTAAATTAGTAGAGGTTTCAGGTCATATGATCAGTGGCTATGGCTTTTGTAGTTATACCCAATGTCTCTCCAGCAAGATCTCTGTGCCAGTTAAGTCTTCAGCCAGCTCCTGAGATGATACCATGCCACCAATGCTGCTGATCCAATTCTGCAGATCCCTAGATAAATAGACACATTGGGATTGACAAGAAAACCTTGCAACTTGCTACAGGGCTGTTTGTCCTACAGCTTTCCATTCTCTAGAAAACATTTCCAGCATAACATTTTTTATCTGGCTCTATATGCTTCACAAATCTTAGGTTTGCTTTTTTTATTCTATCACTTAATGACAACAACCCCTTGTGTTTGAAAGCCTCTTCACTTTTATTATCTTTTTCAATTCTTTTAGTAATCCTGCAGAGATTCTGGGATTTTTTTTGTGTTCATTATGGAGATAAAAAAAGTCAACTTAGAAAAGAGAATTAATTTGCCCATGTGATATAACTAAAAGCAGACATCTTGAATAGAACTCAGACCTCTAGAATCCTGGACTGTTACATATTTCATTACTTCTGTTGGTTCCTGTTCCTATAAATGGTTTCTAGGGCTTGAAGGTACATCTTACTACAGAGTCTCAAAGAAATCATGTCTTTCCTCTTACTTGTATTCTCAAGGGAATCTAGCACATATTTTGCCCAACACACACATACACGTATAGGCAGGTGTCCACACTGCTGATTAAATCAAGGCCTATGTCCCTGTCCTTTTAGTAGTCAGGAAGTTAGACAAGGAAAACTAATGCCTATCTTCCTAAAAGGCAAATTTTAACCATGCATTAACTTTAAAGCATACTTGATGGATAAATTAAGCATCTCATAAAGAATGTCATTACTCTTGTTTGCTCAATAGGAATCCTTAGCTCTAGAGAAGAGAGGTCTCTTCTTTTGCAAATTCATGTATTCAAGCCATTAAGTTTTACTGGGTGCTTACTAAGTACCAAATATTGTGAAAAAGACACATCTATGCTTTCTAGGAACTCACACTTTACATTAAAAATGGGAAAAAAATATAAAGGCAAACAGAGCATAGGCACTAATAGCAATTAAAAAAACCTGAAAGCAAAAGTATCATAAAGGGGTAAAATAAGATATTAATGTTGCTCAGGGCCTGGGAACACTACTTTGAAATACTGAGGAGTATAGCTTCATAAAGGGAAGGAGGAAGCATCGGAATGGGTGTGGGTGCTATTTATTTAAACTGCGTCAAAAACTATAGCTTTTCAGCGCTGAACTGGGGAAGGGATTTCTAAGAGTAACCACAGTCATTTGCCAAAATTTGCCTCTTTTTTTCTGGAAAAGCATTGAAAGCTACAACTTCCTGGATCCTCTAATGCTCCTCCCAGCGGACTGATGTGATGGAGCAGAATATGGGAAGTGTTGCACAAAGTATATGTTTGTGAGGTGAATTTTGGATTGTGATAACGTCTAGACTTTAGCAAGATATTGACAATTCTCTGGAATTTGTTCCCAATATTTCTTAGTTTATCTCTCACTACCTTCTCCTTACCACCCCTGCCCCTGAACATGTTCTTATTCCTATTCTTTTCTTATGATTGTGTCTTTGTTTGCCTAGTTCAGTCTACATGAATTGTTTTCTCTTCTGTTAAAATTTTGACTAATAAGATGTAATAAAAGACTATCTACAGTGCATCATCTATTCTACTCAACTCTGAATTCCCACTGCTGTTTGTTAGAATGTGTGATTTGGGCCTCATTATGTTCTATCATAGTTATTTGTATCCAGCAGAATATTGAATATAGTAGAAGACTGAATACTACTGTCTCTTCAGTAGAACAGAACTCCAATACCATACAACATAGTACCTTATATACAGTACACATTTACAGAAGCTTACTTAATTGGCTTAGATGGCTTCATATTCTTTCAAAGTTTGCATTTTATTGCTTCAGGTATCAAACCTGAAATTTTTATGCCTTGCAAGAGGTGAGACTTGAACATATTAGTGACCTCCAAACCCAGCAGTGAACATCATCTGTACCTAGATTGCTCTTAGACAGTCTACTTAGGTACCAGACATAGAATTACCCATCCCACTCTACCTGGCTTTGCTGAGGAACAGATAGAATTTCTGGGCTTCATTTAGGTTCTCCTTACGATCCTTTGTACGCCCCTGCAGATCATCCCAGGCCTCATTCAGCTCCATCCTCTGTCTCTGAAGGTCCTCACTGGCATCTGGATGGGACTCACAGAGCCGCTCTGCTGTCTCCCCCAATATGATCACCTGGGGAGGTGCAATAGCTCTGATAATCAGCCTACAGATGCACCCAAGTCTTAGCAAAAGGAGAGTCCTGAGTCCCAGTATTCAGTTCCCCAAATAGACATCAGTGATGTACAAGCATACCATAATAATTTATAAAATAATATCAACATTTTAGTCCACATAACTCCCCGAGGTAGTCACAATTGGCATTACCATGCTTCTTTTTAAGAATAAGAGGGATGTGGGGAATAGTGGTTAAGTGACTCTGCTGGTTAGTGGCATCCTCAGTTAGGAAACCCAAGAGTCTTGATTCTTCATGTGAGGAGATTCTTTTTGCTCTGCATAATAATGCCAAGCCTCTGAGTGTACCCAGCAAGCTCCAGAGTACACTTTTGTGTTAAAACAGAATTAAACTCATTCAATTCCCTGCTAAGAAAAACATGCACCATGCTCAGGCATTGGCCTGACGATCCTGGGTATGGACATTTGCTATTTCTCCTGGGCTACTGGCCTCCATCTAGCTGCCACAAGTTTGTAACCTACTAAAGATGCAAGGGGATATAGGGTGCTCACTCAGACAGCAGGAGTTTAATAGTTTCCCCATGTTAACAGTCATGGGGCGTAACCGTTTCACGGTCTCGCCTTAGTGAGAGAGTACAAGAACAAATATTGCACAAGACAAAGAGAAATATAAGAATAAGAGACTGGGGAAGAGAACCAAAGAAGGGGGCATGGGTATAGGGCTAAATGCAAAGTGGAAAGTGTTGGAAAAGCTTTGAAGGACATGTCTCACCTTATCTCCCAGGGGTGTGAGGTCCCTTTCAAAGCCCTTATGCTGTCGCTGAAGAGCCTGAACACTGAACAGATCTGAGCCAGGGTCTGCGGCACTGAGGGCCTGGCACTTCTTCTCAATCTGCTCCTTCGTATCACCTGCTTCTCTGGTATACAAGAGAGCAGAGAGTTTAAAAGTAAGGATATGTACCAGAGGCAGGCTAAAGGGGCTCACAAGAAAGTTATCATCACTACCACTCCCCACCTTCCCACCTCCACCTCCACCAATCACCATCATTCTTTTTTATGTGCTAGAAACTTAGCCTCATTTAATCTTCACAACTCCTAGAGTCATAGTTACTATTCCCATTCCCATTATACAAATCACAAAGCTGAGGACTGAAGAGGATATGTATTTTCTCAAGATTATATCACTGCTGAATGGTGGAGCCTAAGCTTGAACCAGGAGATCTGACGGTTGTCACATGCTTAACCATCACATTTCATAGCTTTCTATCTTAAGCGTTCTGAACACCCAGACCTGTTGGAGTCTCAGTTTTTCCTTCCCTGTATCATCAAAAATACATTTATACACAGTAAAGGTGTTTGATTTCTGTTTTCTTTGTTTGTTTACTTGTTTGTATGTGTCTTTGTGATTCTCAGTTTGAAAATCAAACAGGAAAAATATTGAATGAGCTGTTAGTCAATGTGATGTCTGTTGCCCTCTACTGTCGACTTCTAGTTCAGAAATGTAATTACTTAAACCTCTTGTTTCAAGTTTCTTTCTTTCTGTTTTGATTTTAAAGGCAGGGGTCTCACTCTGTTGCAATAGGCTGGAGTGCAATGGCGTGATCAAGGCTCACAGTAGCCTCAGCCACCTGGGCTCAAGTGATTCTCCCAGCTCAGCCTCCCAAGTATCTGGGACCACAGACCTGTGCCACCACATTGGGCTAATTTTTTTATTTTTAATTTTTTTGTAGAGATGATGTTTTGCTTTGTTGCCCAGGTTGGTCTCCAATTCCCGGCCTAAAGCAATTATCCTGCCTCGCTGGGATTATAGCTGTGAGCCACTGCACTCAGCCTGTTTTATTCATTCTCATGGAAATATATATAGACTTCTAATTATGTTCCAAGGCCCAAGCCTAGGCATTAGAAAATTGAAGTTCATTGTCTGAAAGTGTCCTGTTTGCAAAGTGAGAATTAAACTACTAAAAAACCTAATTTTCCATTGGCACATTGTCTCGATCTCAGGAAAAAAGATTATACTGATATCTATGGTTCCACTTAGAAGTTTTTTTTTTGAGTGGGTTTTAAGGCAGCACTGCTCTTTAGAGTTAAAATTCTTACCTGTGAAACATCTCAACAGCATAGGCACTGCCCAGCAGTTGCCGCTGTTCATCTGCAAGCCTCTGCAAGGAGCCCCAGCGGGCATTCAAATCCTAGAAGAGGCAAAAACACCAGACTTGAGACAGAGAACTAATGCGCATAGCTCAGTGGTGTCTGAAGACCAGGCGAGATTAAAACCATAGTTGCTCTTATGTTATTTTCTTCAGAAATTGCATAGCTTTGCTTCTTTCTTGGTCAGCTTGAGCCTGGGCCTCATTTTTGCCAGTGCAGCAGAGAAGGGGATTTCTTCCCAAACTGATGTTCCAGGGTGACAGCATCAACTCTGGGGCAGTAATCAATGCTTGCTATTACAGAGACTACACTGTAAACTCCAAAAGAATGAGTGGAAAGTGTTGCCTTGGTAATTAGAAATGATCACATTTCTCTAACACAAACAGTTCTGTATCCTGAACTGAATAAACTGAGTAGACTCATAAAGCCCTATTTTCTATAGGGGGTAAGTACATTGCTCCCCTCCACATTTCTTCTCCCTCTTATCCCACAACAACCACTACAACAAGAGGTAGAAAACTCATCCTCACTGGCTTATGGCAATCCAGAGAACTAGATTGAACATTTATTAATGTTCTTTAGATCTTTTATGGAATCATAGACCAGATCTGAATCAGGTCAAGAATGGCCTCTCCCACATTTCTACTGACCTGTATTCTCCTTCTTCAGTATGTTGATCAGAACCTGGGTCTTCCAGTAAACTTTATTAATCAACCTCTTCCCACTGCCATAGATTCCTTGTCTGCATGTTCTTTGCATTCATGTAATTGAGAATTTCTTGTGTGTGTCAGTGAGAGGGAGGTGAGTATGTGTTCTAATTTCAGAATTTTAGGTCAGTCCAAATGTATATATTCTAAAATTGCAATTCAAATTCAATTATATTATTGGGTTTAGATGTAAGGAAAAAAACATTATGTTTAATTTGGTATAGCCTGGTACAGAAGATTAAAAGGAAATTTGGATATTGTAATTTGGACATCACGCTATCAAATACTTGCTTTTCAGATGTGGAAACTGAGGTTTGTAGAAATGAAGAGACTTGTCTGAGGACACACAATCAGACAAGAATAGAGGTATGAACTTAAATCGAATTGACCTCATGTCCAGTGTAATATTATCTAAACTTCCTAATACTGCCTCTGAAAGCAACATATGAATTTCTGCTACCAATACTTTTGTCTCCTTTCCCACTCCATCCATGAAGGGACATATGTGAAGGCATGGAGAGCACTCAATATACGTTAACAAATGAGCCTGCTTGAATTAAGTTAATTTAGTCAACAAAAATATATGGACTATTTGGGCTATTGTCTTTGGCCTTTCCTGTGGCCAATTCCATACTGCTGTTACCTTCTGCATGTTCCAGTGGATATGCAGAATATAATGTTGCATGTTTTAGTGAAATGAGGACTCCCAAACCCCAACCTGGTAGGGAGGAGGAATGGACGGAGCCTTAGTTACCTGCTGAATTTGAGCTCCTTCCGGTGTTAGAAGTCCTTCAAATAGTAGATCATCAGCTACCTTGTTGATATCCCTTAGCCGAGGTTCATTGGTCTTCAAATCCTGAATGCGCAAATTCATCCAAAGAAGCATAAATACCCTCATCAAGAATCTGCCATACTTACCTGTCCACCTCTGCCCCTACTTGGCTAAATAGCAAAACATTGCTAACCTCACCTGTAATACACACCAAGCTCCCTTCCTCCAATCCACTACTGAGAAGAGTATCCTTAAAGGCCTTGACAACTAGTGGCTATCCAAAACTTGTCAAGAGAACTATTATTTATCTGCAGTATGAAGCATAGTTACTTTTCTAGGTTTCTTAAAATCTCTCCAGGATTAAGTTATACCACTAGAGGGATTGATACCTGAGCTGTGGAACATCCTTTTCTACCAGTACAAACTCCAGCTTTATATAATTTCATTAACTGAGTTATTATCTGCCTATATTATAAGATATTGTAAGAAACAGCTCTAAGGAGGGTTATCCCACTCTCTCCCCTCCACCCCACCCTCTCTATCTTTCTCTTTCTCTCTCTCTCTGTGTGTGTGTTTGTGTGTGTGCTTGTGTCTGTGTGTGTGTGTGTGTGTTGAATCCCATGTGGAAGATATCAACAGAAAAAGAAAGAAAAGAAGGAATGAACACTCATTGCTAGTTAAGATAATGGAAAAAGGATGTTGAAAGGGTTTTAGGTAGGCAAAAACTTAGAAACTCTTTGTCAAGTCAGGTTTTTGTCAAGTCCCTTTTCCACCCAAACTCTGCCCCATAATTAAACTGTGCACATGGTCCAACAACACCTCATCTTAACCTGGGCATTAGACACAAAGTATAGCACAGGGCAAGTTGTGAATAATTTAGGAAGACCAGCACTCCAGTCAAGATTTTGGAGTGGCAGGGACTGAAGGCTGCAGTTAGGGTAACTAGTTTTCTCTGCATTTCCCTTCCAGCTATTGACAACTACAATACCCAGAGGGAGCTCTGAGCCACGGAGCTGTCAATAGCTTTGGGGAGAACATTTAACAGTGTGAAATAAATTATTTTTATTTATTTATTTATTTTAATTTTATTTTTTTAAGATCACGTAGACTAAGCTTCGGGGTAAAAGGGAACAATGGCAACCTTCAAAAAGGTGTCTGGAGAAGGCTCCTCTTTCTCACCTTTTGGAACTCATCAAACTTTTTCTGCAGCTCCCAAACATCATCTAGTTCCACCCCAGTATTTTCTGCCTTTTTCTCTTGAATCCATTCCAACATATCTCCTGCCTCATAGGCCAAAAAAAATTCATTGTAACGTTGCAACAGACGACGTCTGCGGTCTTCTGCGCGATCCAAGAGGGAGCGGTACCTGGATGGAGAAGTCAAGAAAATGGGAAATGTGGAATAAAAGAAAGAAAAGTGGAACAAAAGAAGGAGGAAATATAGAAGAACAGAGGCTGAGGGAAAAACATAGAGAAAAAAGGGACAAAAATGAAAGGAAAAAACAAAAGCAAAAGAACGGTAGAAGAGAGGAGGAAAATGAAATAGAAGGGAAACAGCCTTCAGGGCAGAAAGATAAACACATAATATCATACTTAAAAATAATAAAAATGCCAGTGACCCAATAGTACGGCTGGCAACATTCCTTTCTCATTTCATCAAAGTGACATTTTTACATGAAAATTGACAATTAGATGTGAAAAGCCTGGTGTAGTAAATGAAGTTCATACAGATGTCAGGAGACTTTTTAATAACCTTGAAAGAATGAGGGGCAGGAATCAGAAAAGCCCTGTTCAGTGTCTGACGTCAGGAAATTGATGGAACAATTCTGGGGTTGCCTTTCCTCATAAAGAAGCCAAAATATTTAAGGGATTCTAAGTTTACTTTCAATTCTTAAAGTCTTTAAATTTTCCATGGCATCTCTAATCTAACAGACGCAGGGTCATGAGAAGAATGTTTTCGGCCACAAATGTCTGGCCACATGCTGTTCAGTTCTCCAGGCTCCAGAACTTACTGGTTCTCAATCTGCTCCTGGCGTTCAGTGATGTTGCCTGGCTCTTCTCGTCGCCGCTGTGGGAGCATTGGAAACTCATCATGGGCCAGTCTCTTGACATAAACCGCTGGGACAAAGCCCTGATGATCGTCAGCTTCCACCTTCCACCAGTCCTGAAGGGAGAGCAGATCCCCACTCCTTCATTAATTCTTGGAAAAGCCACAATGGGAAAGGCTTCAACACTAACTCTCTTGGCACAGGTACAGGTTAATGGCAAAGATAAGCTAACTGTCTAATGGGTGGCACATAATTTTCATATATGACCAAGAAATTCAATGAGAAATTGCACAGACAAGCCCCTAAAATCAAGAATTTGATACCTAATGTTAGGCCCTTAACTTTGGAGGGATTTTCAAACAACGAGGACAGCTCTTTTAATGACGGGGCAGTTTGTTCTCAGGAATTTACAAAAAAAACACATGGAGCCAGGCTCCAGCTGGACTTCTTGGCAGTGGAGCGTCTGTGTAGGAGGATATTGCTCAAAAATTTCTTCTCCTCTGTTCTTCTTCCACAGGTCTGAAAAATGTGAATTCCTCTGAAATTCATATACCTAAGTGTTGTTTTATTTTTTAACTGTTGCTAGATCTACTAATACTTGGAGGTTAATTTCCTCAAAAAATAATAAAGAGGACATATTATTTGATAATGAAAACTCTGCCTCTCCGAACTATTTTCTTTTCTTCTTAAAAATTTTGCCCAAACTTCCTAAAAAATAGCCCAAACTATTTTCTTTTCTTCTTAAAAATTTTTGTAGGTTAATTAGGTATTAGATATAAAAATTACTTGAGTTCTTATGAAAAATGTATTTTAAAATCCCAACCAATATTTTATCACTGTTCTCCCAGGCACAAGATCTAAAGAAAATCAATAAAAGACTCATCTTTTAGTAGGCTCCTTCTAACCCCAGACACTGTTGTTTTATCACCAGGAATACTGGCACAGAAGAGGAACAAGTAAAGAGAAAGAAAGAAAGGTACAGCTTAGTCCTTGAAATATATTATAGAATTTCCAGTCATACTTTCTATATCTTTGGGTTAATTATATAACTTCCATTCTTTATGATTTTAACTGCAACATCAGGATTATAATTCCTAAAGATATGTGTAGGGTCCTGCAAAATACATAGAGGAAAATTACTACTTAATCAGTCACAGTTATTTAGGAATTAAAGTAATCAAAAAAATGTTGGGTGGTGAAAATATGAATATCTGGCAGGACTGGGAGAGATGGTTCTGAAAGAGCCACTTTTTGATGGAAAGAGTAGAAGAAAAAGTCACCTTATTGATGGAACTGAGCAGTGTTAAGACATCACCTTTCTTCATGGTGACTTCTCGGGGGCTGCGGGCCTGGAAGTCATATAAAGCCATGACCCTTTGTTCTCCAGCAGCTCCCTCCACTGGTGCGGACTGTTGTTGCTGGACAAAATCAGGAAGCAGGTGTCAGTCACATTGGAAATATCTCCCTGTGCAGCCTACCAAGGGCATGCAGTCCCCTGTGCTTCCCAGAAGAAAAGAGCCTCTGGGTGGACCCTTTTACATGGTTGCAGAGATTAAAGTAGGTGGTCTTTTTCAGAGAGACTGCTCCATTCTGACACTTATCAAGGGGACAGGAAGGCTGGGAACTATAAACCCAGAACAAGGAAGCAAATACACAGTTTGTCAGAAACGTATTAATTAAATACTCTAAGCCATCAGTTCTTAAAATGGGAGGAGTGTATTTTAAGAAATGTACTCTTTTAAGAAGGTCTAAAAGGATTATACACATCAACATTTCAGAAAATTGTTTGAGAAAGTGAAAGACCCACTGTCTGTCATCGCCTTTCCCTGTGCCTCCACGGATAATTCTTCCCACTCCTTCTGGCCTTTAAGTTACTATATCAAGAGCTCTGGACCTTCTATTTGAGGGATGAGTGATTAAAAGCACAGGAAAAGCCACAGAATTTCAAAATTGAGAACAATAACTGAGATCATTAAAAATATTTTGTGCCTCTGTTTAGTAAGCAGCCTGCATTGGTAGAATTTTCTTTGACTTGGACTTTCTGCCAATATCACGTCGCTGAGAAATGAAGCAAAGCATAACCCCTCTTCCTAAGGAATGACCCGCCCCTTCCTCAGATTGGAGTTGAAGGTGCACTTCCCCCTCTGATGTCATATCCTTTAGGTAACGTGTTTCCTCATACCATACAATGTATGCATTCATCTGTTCTCGTTTAGGCACCCACTGTGCAGAGCCTGGTGAAGACACAGCATAGAGGCCTGTAAATGTACACTGACTTGACAGGTTGAGTCTGTGTCTCTTGTTTACTCCGGATGTGCAGATTAACAACCTTTCATTAGAAAGAATTCCTTCAAGGTAAGAATTATGTCTCTTTTTTTTAACCACTACATTCAGGAGACACTGTTATAACATTTATTTGATTCCAGTTCGATTAATCTTCATGACACCCCACTTCGCCTTATACCTGAGCCATTCTTATATTCTCAACCAATTGCATCTTCCATTCTCACGTTCTTACCCAACCGCATTTGCCACAAAACTAGTGCCTCGGTGCATTTGCTCTCACGGCTTATTGACTAGAAAAACCCTTCTCCTCTTTCCCTGTACGGTAAACCACCCATCTTTTTTTCTTTAATTCAGATAAGATGGTTTCCCTCAGCTATGAACATTTTCCTATTTTCCAGCACTGTTATTTCAAGAGAACACAAGAGTCCTTTCTCTGAGACTCTTTGTCCCGTTCATATATCTACAACATGCACTTACTGTTAAATCTCTGGGCTTCTAATAGACTGTAATTTTTCTTCAAATCAGGATTTCTTATTCATACTTGCATATAGTAGCCATTGAATAAGTGTTGACATGAAACGTTAAGAAACAAAGGAAGGGAATAAAGAAAAAGATAAGAAGAGATACAAATGAAGAAAAGAAAGAAAGAAAGAAGGGTAGAAATATAAAAGGAAGGAAAGAGGAAAGCCAAAAATACATCAATGAACCATGATACTATTTATCAAAAATTTCTTTTGGACAAAGTCACCTTTGGACTAAATTGCAGATGCTACAGTTCCTGCAATATAAACGTCACAGAACTTAGTGTTTTCTTTGTCACTGTTTTTGGGGTTGTGGAAAGTAAAATGTCAATAATAACGACAATTTCTTTTTCTCTGTGGTGGGAAGTGTGTATCCTGACATCAGTAAGTTAGTCTTACCTGGCACGCTTCTGCCTGATTTCGTAGAGCTTCCATACTGTTTCCGAATGCATTGAGATCCAATAGAAAGGCCTCATGCTTCTTTAGAAGAGCCTGGATTTATTGATGGAAGATCATCAGAATGAATATAGGAGGAACACTATTATTTTAACCACTATTATTTTGGGTTATGCTGTTTGTCTTCAATCCTGGTAAAAGCCACTTTCCATCTATTATAAAGTTCTTTTTAACCCTAAATTTGCAAGCCTTAAGAAAATGGGAGTTAATAAGTTGTAATTTCAATATGTTTACTAAAATCAAAATTAACTCAAATTTGCAAAAGTATTTTTATCAATAAGATTATAGCTGAAAAGCGGATGCTGTTGATATCGTTACTTTGATAAACATTAGCATAACTTAACTTAAAAAGTGTGTGCCAATTCTTTCTAGTGCCAAAGGTTTGGGAAGTACTATACCAGCTTCCTACAGGACAATGAGCAAAACAAATAAATAGATATAAAGTGTGATTATCACCTCTGAGGTTTTTCCTGCCTCAACATATCTGTCCAATTTTATTTTAATAAAGTAATTAAGGTGTCTATATCTTAAAACCACGATCGGATTATAAAAGCTCAAGGTTGGCCAGGCGCAGTGGCTCACACCTGTAATCCCAGCACTTTGGGAGGCCAAGGCGGGTGGATCACAAGGTCAAGAGATCGAGACCATCCTGGCCAACATGGTGAAACCTCGTCTCTACTAAAAATACAAAAATTAGCCAGGCGTTTGGCAGGCACCTGTAGTCTCAGCTACTTGGGAGGCTGAGGTGGAAGAATGGCTTGAACCCGGGAGGCAGAGGTTGCAGTGAGCCGAGACTGTGCCACTGTGCTCCAGCCTGGCAACAGAGCAAGACTCCATCTCAAAAAAAAAAAAAAAAAAAAAGGCCCAAGGTTTGCGAGGAATAGTATAGAACAACGACTTCTCTATGTTTCTGGTTTTTTTTTTTTTTTTTTTTTTTTTAGAATGTATGAATCTCTGTGGGATGAGAAAATGTGGTGTACCTTTCGGGATTCCTGTCAACTCCGAGGAAGTCTCAGCAGATGAAGGCCAAACGCGGTAACTCTGGAAACCGCAAATAATCTAGCAAAATCTGTAGCTGTCCCACCACCTAAGCAAACCCTAAATTGATAATGTGGTTGCATTTGTTGAGGATTCACGATGTTAAACCCACTCCCACCTTACCCCAACCGCTTCTTCATCAGCCCCATAGTTAGTATTGTCTACAATAGGCTCCTTCTCTCTGATCCATGTTTCTGCTTCATGCAGGTCAGCCAGGTACTGCTGGAACTGGACATTGGCTTCCAGATCATTTTGTCGCCTAGCAGCTCTAGCACGGAGAGACTCCATATTCTGGTTCAAACTCTCGACCCTAGAGGCCACATCTTCTGCAGCAAAGTGTCCTATGGAGTAGTTACAGAAAAGGTGAGAATGATCATCATGAATGTTTACTGTACTCTCATCCTTTTGGTATCTTGAAAAAGAGAAATGAAGTTATAAGGATGATACCTTATTTAGTCAACATTATATTTTTCTTGAGTTACCTGGGAATTTAAATATCCTAAGTGAGATTAAGTGGCAATACTTATGAATGGGAGATAGGCGTGTGGTGCTGAATAGGTTGGTATAGTCTGACAAATACAGACTTGAAAACAGAATACGAATGTGTGGGTGATGTTCAGAGTTCCAAAATCGTGTCTTCTTTAGATTAAGCAGAAAAATCAGCAGATTTCCATTTCTGCCGATAAAGAATTTATCATTATAATTGCTCTTCTACCCTAAACAACTAAAAAACAGTACAAACCTGGAAACCATCACTCTCAGCAAACTGACACAAGAGCAGAAGATCAAACACCGCATGTTCTCACTCATAGGCGGGTGTTGAACAATGAGAACACACGGACACAGGGAGAGGAGCACTACACACTGCGGTCTGTCAGGGGGAAATAGGGGAGGGACAGTGGGAGATGGGGAGTTGGTGAGAGAGAGCATGGGGAAAAATGCCGGATATAGGTGAAGGGGAGGGAGGCAGCAAATCACACTGCCATGTGTGTACCTATGCAACAATCTTACCTATTCTTCACATGTACCTCAAAACCTAAAATGCAAAAAAAAAAAAGACAGAAAAAGTAATAAAATAAATAAAAAACAGTACAAGCTGCAAGATAAAATGATTTTCAGACAATGGATAGAGGGCTGTGATTACTGCGAGAAGGGAAATAAATGAGATATGTTCTATAATGGCCAAGCTTATGCCTCTAGAGATTTCTGGGCTGTAGGGCTGGTGAACTAACCCAAATAGAGCTACCAGTCACACTGAATTGAGGAAACAGAGATCAACATTTGGGAAAAAGAACTAGAGCTTGTAAGGTACAGTATTAAAGAGAAGGGCGTTACAGACAGATAGAACATGTCAGAGAAGTTCCCTTGAGTATTTGTCTGATTACTTATATGCACATATGTGTAAAGAAATCCTGGAGGGTGAGAAAAGAGTGACTTAAAAGCAGTGGCCAAACAAGTTCTAGAGCTCAAATAAGAATGAAAATCGTTAACATTACCACCCACCAAAATGGAAAAATATTGTAATACATGAGATAGGGTCCTCAGAAGTCATATATCTTAATATTAGACTCATCTCTAAATCAGTCCCTGAATAAAGCCTGCCCCGGGAATACTATAACAAAACAGATCCAAGAAGCTCAACAATCACCAAGCTGAAGAAACAAGAAAAGTCCCATCAGGTTATAATCAAATTGTTTAATACCAGTGATAAAGAGAAAAGCTTTAAAACAGAGGGAATAAAAAAGACATATTACATACAGAGGAGCAAAGATCACAATGACAGCAGACTTCTTATCAAAAACGTGCAAAGTCAGAAGACAACTTAGTGCATCTTTAAAATGCTGGAAGAAAGAAATTCTCAACTGAGAATTTTTTTTTTTTTTTTTTTTGAGACGGAGTTGCGCTCTTGTTTTCCTGGCTGGGGTGCAATGGCGCGATCTCGGCTCACTGCAACCTCTGCCTCCTGGGTTCAGGCAATTCTCCTGCCTCAGCCTCTTGAGTAGCTGGGATTACAGGCACGCGCCACCAGGCCCAGCTGATTTTTTGTACTTTTAGTAGAGACGGGGTTTCACCATGTTGACCAGGATGGTCTCGATCTCTTGACCTCGTGATCCACCCGCCTCGGCCTCCCAAAGTGCTGGGATTACAGGCTTGAGCCACCGCGCCCGGCCCGAGAATTTTATATGTAGTGAAAATATACTTCAAAAAGGAAAGTAGAATAAAGACTTTTAGATGAACAAAAGTGTAGAGAATTTATGGATAGAAGACCTGCAGTGTAAGGAAAGTTAGATGAAGTTCTTCAAGCAAAAGAAAAATAATACAAATGAAAATATTAACCTAGCCTTAGAGGCGCCAAGATGGCCGTGAGAAGGCAACACCAGAATGCAGCTCCCAGAGAATGAGACGCCAGGGCTAGAGGACGTCACGATTCCAAACGAGGAGCTGTGTTCGTTTTGGTGGGACTGATACGGCACTGAAAATAGCCCAAGGAAGGAGCCACACGGCGAGAGCCGCCCAGGGGGGCAAATCAAGAACGCGCGGGGTGGGGGGGCAAGGGGGGGGCGTCCCCACTTGAAACACGCAGCCGGCTCAGAGGGTCAGGGACTTAACCCCTCAGTGCTCCGTTTCGTATCTTGTGCTTACCTCAACTCTCCTGCAACCCATGGTCCACCAGAGCCCAGCCAGACGGTGGGGCGCTGTGTGCAGTCCGTGCAAATCTGAGCAGTGGCTCCCGCCAGGTGGGAGTTGTCACAGGGACCTGGGCGGAAGTTTGCACTAACGCCAGCGGGACAGACCGTCCCACAGAGGGAGGCAGAGTTGGAAGCAAGGAAACAGACCACGAGGCCTGGCAGGCCCCACCTCCACAGAGCTCAAACTGAAGCCCTCGCTAGAGAGCTCGCCAGCAATTACACCAGTTTGACCCCAGCCAGGAAGATCGAGCTCTGGGAGAGACGCCATCGGGAAGGCGGTGCCAATGTCACCTGTGAACAAACTCAGGGAAAGGACCACCCACCCAGCAACCTGACTGAACCCGAGAGCCCAGCAACGCCCTCTACAGGCCAAAAAAGATACAGCTCCAACCTCAACAGAAAAAACATCCCTTCAGGGACTTCTCCTCAAATCACCAACTTCAGAGATCAAAGGGAGATAAATCCATGAAGATGGGAAAAAAAAAAAAACCAGCGCAGAAAGGATGAAACCGTCAAAGAACAGAACACCTCTTCTCCTCCCAGGGATCACAACTCCTCACCATCAAGCAAACAAAAAAAGATAAAGAATGAATCTGATGAATTGACAGAAGCGGGCTTCAGAAGGTGGGTAATAACAAACTTCTCTGAGCTAAAAGACCATCTTCTAACCCAATTCAAAGAAACTAAGAACCTTAAAAAAAGGTTAGATGAAATGCTAACTGGAATAACCAGCTTAGAGAAGAATATAAACAACTTGATGGAGCTGAAAAATACAGCACAGGAACTTCACGAGGCATACAGAAGTTTCAACAGCCAAATAAATAGATCAAGCAGAAGAAAGGGTATCAGAGATAGAAGATCAAATCCATGAAATAAAATGAGAAGGCAAGATTAGAGAAAAAAGAGTGAAAGAAAATGAACAAAGCCTCCAAGAACTATGGGATTATGTGAAAAGACCTAATCTACGCTTGACTGGCATACCTGAATGTGACGGGGAGAATGAATCTAAGTTGGAAAACACTCTTCAAGATATTATCCAAGAGAACTTTCCCAACCTAACAAGGCAGGTCTACATTCAAATCCAGGAAATACAGAGAACACCACAAAGATATTCCTCAAGAAGAGCAACTCCAAGGCACATAATTGTCAGATTCACTAGGGTTGAAATGAAGGAAAAAATGTTAAGGGCAGCCGGAGAGAAAGGTCGAGTCACCCACAAAGGAAAGGCCATCAGACTCAGCGGATCTCTCAGCAGAAACCCTACAAGCCAGAAGAGATTGGGGGCCAATATTCAATATCCATAAAGAAAAGAACTTTCAACCTATAATTTTGTATCTGGCCAAACTAAGCTTCATAATTGAAGGAGAAATAAAATCCTTTACAGAGAAGCAATTGCTGAGAGATTTTGTCGCTAGAAGACCTGCCTTACAAGAGCTACTAAAGGAAGTACTAAACAGGGAAAGGAACAACCAGCACCAGCCACTGCAAAAACATACCAAATGGTAATGGTTACAACACAATGAAGAAACCACATTAACTAACAGGAAAAATAACAGCCAGTAACAAAATGGCAGGATCAAATTCAAACGTAGCAATATTAATGTTGAATGTAAATGGCCTAAACACCCCAATCAAAAGACACAGACTGGCAAACTGGATAAAAAGTCAAGACGCATTGGTGTGCTGTATTCAGGAGACCATTTCACATCCAAAGACTCACATAGACTCAAAATAAAGGGATGGAAGAAGATTTACCAAGCAAATGAAGAGCAAAAAAAAGCAGGGGTAGCAATCCTAGTCTGTGAAAAAAATGGACTTTAAACCAACAAAGATCAAAAGAGACAAAGAAGGGCATTTCATAATGGTAAAAGGATCAATGCAACAAGAAGAGCTAACTAACCTAAATATATATGCACCCAATGCAGGAGCACCCAGATACATAAAGCAAGTTCTTAATAACCTACAAACTCACACACAATAACAGTAGGATACTTTAATACTCCACTGACAATATTGGACAGGTCAATGAGACAGAAAGTCAAAAAGGATATCCAGGACTTGAATGCAGATTTGGACCAAGTGGACCTAATAGACACTTGCAGGACACTCCACCCCAAATCCACAGAATACACATTCTTCTCAGCACTACATTGCACTTACTCCAAAATTGACCACACAATTGGAAGTAAATCACTCCTCAGCAAACACAAAAGAACAGAAATCAAAACAAACACTGTCTCAGACCACAGTGCAATCAAATTAGAACTCAGCATTAAGAAAAGCACTCAAAACCACACAATCACATGGAAACTGAACAACTTGCTCCAGAATGATGAATGGATAAACAATGAAACAAAGGAAGAAATAAAAATGTTCTTCAAAACCAATGAGAATGAAGACACAACGCAACAGATCGTATAGGACATATTTAAAGCAATGTCTAGAGAGAAATTTATAGCAATAAATGCCCACATGAGAAACAGGGAAAGATCTAAAATCAACACCCTATCATCAAAATTAAAAGAGCTAGAGGAGCGAGATAAAAAAAAAAACTCAAAAGCTAGCAGAAGACAAGAAATAACTAACATCAGAGCAGAACTGAAGGAGATAAAGACACAAAAAGCCCTTCAAAAATCAATAAATCCAGGAGCTGGCTTTTTTGAAAAGATCAACAAAATAGACCGCTAGCTAGACTAATAGAAAAGAAAAGAGAGAAGAATAAAATAGATGCAATAAAAAACAATAAAGGGGAGATCACCACCGATTCCATAGAAATACAAGCTATCATCAGAGATTACTATAAACAACTCTATGCACATAAACCAGTAAATCTGGAAGAAATGGATAAATTCCTGGACACTTGCACACTCCCAAGACTAAGCCAGGAAGAAGCTGAAACCCTGAATAGACCAATAAGAAGGTCTGAAGACAAGGCAGCAATTAATAGCCTACCAACCAAAAAAAGTCCAGGTCCAGACAGATTCACAGCTGAATTCTACCAGACACACAAAGAGGAGCTGGTACTATTCCTGTTGAAACTATTCCAAACAATACAAAAAGCGGAAATCCTCCCGAACTCTGTCTATGAGACCAACATCATCCTGATATGAAAACCTGGCAGAGACACAACTAAAAAAGAAAACTACAGGCCAATATCCATGAGGAACATTGATTCAAAAATCTTCAATAAAATACTGGCAAACCGATTGCAACAGCACTTCAAAAAGCTTATCCATCACAATCAAGTAGGCTTCATCCTGGGGATGCAAGTCTGGTTCAACATATGCAAGTCTATAAACATAATCTACCACATAAACAGAACCAAAGTCAAAAACCACATGATTATCTCAATAGATGCAGAGAAGGCCTTTGACAAAATTCAACAGCCCTTTAGGGTAAAAACTTTCAATAGACTAGGTACTGATGGAACATATCTCAAAATAATAAAAGCTGTTTACAATAAACCAACAGTCAACATCCTACTGAAGAGGCAAAAACTGGAAGCATTCCCTTTAAGAACTGGCACTAGACAAGAATGCCCTCTCTTACCACTCCTATTCAATATAGTATTGGAAGTTCTAGCCAGAGCAATTAGGGAAGAAAAAGAAATAAAGGGCATTCAATTAGGAAAAGAAAAAGTCAAATTGTCCCTATTTGCAGACAACATGATCGTATATTTAGAAGACCCCATCATCTCAGCACAAAACCTCCTTAAGCGTGAGGGTGAAAACAAATGGAAGTATACATATAAGAATCTTATATTAAACATAAAATGCATAATACTATTTGAAATTAGACTATGATAGATTAAAAATCTACATTTTAATTCCTGGAATAGTAACTCTCAAAATTTTGCTTTTGGGATTCTTTTACAATTTTTAAAATTATTGAGGATGCAAAAAAGCTTTTGCTTATATAGTTAGACTCATTAATAGTTCCCATATCAGAAATAAAAACAATAAGTTTTTTTATTTATTTCTACAAGGTTTATTTTTATAACGTTTTCTTTATTATTATTATTATTATTATTTTAATATGTATTTTATTGTGTTTTAGATTTTGGGGTACACGTGAAGAACATGCAAAATTGTTGCATAGGTACACATATGGTAATGTGGTTTGCTGCCTTCCTCCCCATCACCTATTTCTGGCATTTCTCCCCATGTTATCCCTCCCCAACTCCCCACCCCACACTGTCCCTCTCCTAGTTCCCCCCAACAGACCCCAGTGTGTGATGCTTCCCTCCCTATGTCCATGTGTTCTCATTGTTCAACACCCGCCTATGAGTGAGAACACGCAGTGTTTGATTTTCTGTTCTTGTGTCATTTTGCTGAGAATGATGTTTCCCAGGTTCATCCATGTCCCTACAAAGGATGCAAACTCATCAATTTTTATGGCTGCATAGTATTCCATGGTGTATATGTGCCACATTTTCCCTGTCCAGTCTATCATTGATGGGCATTTGGGTTGGTTCCAAGTCTTTGCTATTAAAACAAGAAGTTTTGAAAGAAAAGAATGTACAAGTACATACTCCATTAGACAGAACAGTGACATCATCACCGATCTGCAGGCTCTGGAAAACTCCACTCTATGCTTATGAAAGAATAAGTCTTTAAAAGAAAAATAATAGTCTTAGCACTATTATGAAAATATTTTAACTTTGGGAACCCACTAAATGTGTGTCAGAGGCCCCAAAAGGACTCCAAATCACAATGCCAAAATCATTGCACTATAATAAACACACACACACACACAAACACGAAACAGCAAATGTAGCTAATAGGCCAATTTGAAGATAAGATGGAATCACAGTAAATACAAAATTGATCTAAAGGAAACATAAAGTGATAGATAAAAAGAAAAAACATAGCAACATGCCAGATTTAAAATAAACCATATCGATAATTGCACTAAGTGTAAATTGTCTAAATATCACAATTTAAAAAGAAAAATTACCAGATTGAATATAATAAAAACAAGGCCTGATTATATGCTATTCATAAGAATCCCACTTGAAATATAAGAAACAGAGTATAAGCAAAAGGGTGGAGAAATACGCACCATGAAAAAACTAATTATAAGATAGCTCATGTGGCTTTTATTAAAGTCAAAGTAGGTAGACTTCAGAACAAAGAATTTCACCAGTGAAAAAGATTGATATTTTATAATCTGAAGATTTAACTTCATCGAAAAGACATAACTATCCTAAATGTATATGCACATAATAACAGAGCTTCAACACATATGAAACAAAAACTGATAGAACTGAAAAAAGAAGAAGACAAAATCCACAACTATAGTTGAAGATTTTTAAAATAGGCGAATTTCTATAGCAACATAGATATTCCAAGTAAACATTTGTTGGTTTGAATTACTGGGTTGGGATGTGCAGTTTTGCTCACAAAACTGAATTTTAACCTATACTTTTGAAAACTAGATGTTGGTTGCATCAATTGATTCTTCAATCAACAGAGGAAAAATCCCAATGTAATCTGCATTGTGTACACCATACCTAGCCTTATGATGTTCAGAACTGAACATCATACTTAAGCACTAGGAATTTCTTAATTGAATGAAAAGAATAAACAGAGGCACTGAAGCTATACAAAGTGAGAAGTTGAAGAAATGGAACAGTTTGCTATAAAATAGACATTGCATAACTAAGATCTGCCTTGACAGATCTGGAAGCTTGAACATGGAAAAGAGACCTGATTTAATTCATAGGGCTTTGTAAATTAGATTCTGAATTCTGAATTTCTACAAAGAAGCATGTTAATGATTAGGGTAAAGACGTTTTACTTTAATAATTTTTGTTTTACAAAAAATAGTGTTTCACAGGATTGGAATATTCCTATTACTGGAATATACAAACAAAGCCATATGCCCATTTGTCAGAAATGCTAAAAGAGAATTAAGTGGGAAAATGGGTCAGATATTTTTAAATTCCCTTGAAGCCCTAAGATAGTGCAAACTTCTTGCCAGAGGTATGGCCTGGTGATGTTTTGGCCAACTGAACCTCAATCATACATACCTTCCTCTACCATTTTTTCCCCTCTTTCTGTTATCGCTTGAATGCGTGGTTCATGGCTGGCAATGTTCTCCAGGATGACTTGGTGCCTATTCAGAAGATTTTTGGAGGCAATCAGGTCCTTTCCTGCAGAGGAAAGAAATTTCAAAGTTTGGGATTATCCTGGTGTATGGAAGTAGCATAACTCACTTTTTTAAAACTCTCGGACACACATGTTCTTCCTTTGAGTTCTAACCATTGAGTAAGATTCTTTAAATTTATATCATCTGTTGGAATCCACTTTACTTATCTTTGCTTTTTCTCTGGCTTCGTTTTATTCATAAATTTCAGTTCATTATTATATAACAGATAATGAAAACATCACTATTTTTGTTGAAAGATAGGTAGGAAGGTAAGTAACTTCTTAGTTCAAATGTCCAATATTATGCACACAATTGTCTTTCAGCATATTGTGATGTACAAGGAAGGAACTTCTACTCCCTAACTTCTATGGACTTCAGAAAGATTTTAAATCCTCTATGCATAAGTTTTCTCATCATGAAAAAGGCACAGTGTAACTGGTTTGAAGATCTATTTGTAATCATTAGAAATAACTTACAAAAAATGCCTCACTGATTGCCTACCATTAACAAACAAACAATAAAGACTACTTACTGTGAATTTCTATCTTATAAGATCCCCTCATCCTGCTGTCTGCTTCATCCTCCCTGCCTCTTAGCTGTGCTTTATCTCTTTGCCCTCTAAACTTTCTTTCTTACTACTTCCCATTCAAAACGTCTCTCCAGAAACTTTCTATGCCTTTCCAATAAGCCCCAGACTTTTTCCTTCAATAAAGTTTTCCCAGACTGACCCTTCCATTATCATAATTGTCCAGCCCTTCATAGATTTTTTCCAAAATATGCATGCCAACCTGCACTGTATTTGTGTACACCTTTTTCTGTACCTCAGTATAAATATACTGGCTTTGACACTGGTGAACTAGCAACTTCTGAAGGAAAGAACAATATGTGCTTTATCTGCTACTTCACCCCTGCTATTGTCAGAATAAATAGCTCATAGCCAACTACAACCTAAACACAAACACCTAGTATCTCAGACATTAACCATGACTGCTCAAAGACCTTCACAGTAACTTAAGTTTTAGAGCAAGCAACCAAATACTGAGTACTCTAGCTCTTCCCAGAGGCCCTAAATTCATGGCATTGCTCATGTTCAGTTTTAGGAGGTATATTTTTTAGCATAATTTAAAAACATCTTTTTATGAAGGACTAGACAAATTTTCTTGAGTCTGAGAAGAAATAGCTAAGAGCAAGCTTTCTACAATCCCACTGCTGTACCCCAGATCTCTCAATCTATAGACCCTGGTCCTTTCCTAATGTCTCAGCCTGCTCAGGCTGTACTAACCAAGGTAGGTGGAAGCAGCTGAGGGTTCAGTCTCTTGGATCCAGGCCTCCTCATCCTCTGTGTCTCTACAAATCAGCTGTAGTTGGAGTAAGTCAAAGAGCGTCTTCTTCCGGGTAGCCAGTGGCTCTTTCAGAGCTTCAAATCGGGATACCAAGGACTCCTGCCTTGCCCGTATGTCCTTAGAATCAGGAAGGCCTATTTCTTCAAAATATGCAGCCAGCTCTGTGAGGGTATCCACCTGATCCTAAGGAAGAAATAGAATGAATGTCAAGAAATCCCAACATTTAGTAGGAAGTCATAGGATTTTGGCATGGTGGAAAAGGGGGCAGGGAAAAATCAGCTCTTGTACATACTGTGTTATTATCTCTAATTAAATCAGCGAAATGGAGTTGGATGGATTGCTACATTGAGGACCACTACATCAGGTGAGTCTCTTTGTATGAAAGTAGTTCTCAGAACATGTTTTAGAAACATCAAAATATTTATAGAATGCTTCAAGGGAATCAGAAAAATTAGAACTGCAGAGTTTGATTGTTTAAGAGTATCGATAAATTGGGTCCCAAGAGAAAAAGCAGAAGTGTTTTTCTATCTCAGTTTACCTTCTATATTCTTTCTCTCTCTTTAAAAAGAGCTGTAACTGCAAATAAATGGAAAGCTCTTCAGGCTTAAATTTGTTGCATAGCAGAAACAATACCTATGAGATGAAATGTGATGTTATAAACAAATGTCAGAAGCCCAGAAAAAGAAATGTAAAGGAATGACATGCCACCAGATAGTTGTCCTCCTTTGAGACATATCTGAAAAAGGAGAGATACAGAAACAGGATTTTGAAGGCTCTCCCTAGAAATAAAATTTTAGTTGTATACCTATATGATGAAATAGATGTCATAGGTATAGTACATCAAATTTTTATTAGTGAGGTAAACTATACCTAGCCTGGCAGAAACACGGTACCCAGGCTTTTTATCTGCTTGTTGTCCTCATTTGTTTGTTGGGTATGAGAGTGGCACATAAGCAAGGAGGGAGGGCATTAGGACAAATACCTAATTCACGTGGGGCTTAAAACCTAGATGACGGGTTGATGGGTGCAGCAAACCACCATGGCTTATGTATAACTAAGTAACACACCTGCGCATTCTGCACGTGTATCCCAGAATTTAAAGTATAATTTTTAAAATGTTCTTCAAGAGACAGAGAAACATCAGGCATTTGGTTTTATTTTCGCTATTTTGCCATTCAGTGCTCAATCTATAAAGGATTTTATCTATGGCTCCTCCATTTGGAGAGAAGTTTAAAAACACTGACTACCAGTAACTTCTTAAAACACATACTCACTTTTCCATAAAAAATTAGAGGCCTTACACTTTTACACTCTTGGTGGGAGTGTAAATTAGTCCAACCATTATGGAAGACAGTGTGGTGATTCCTCAAGGATCTAGAACCAGAAATACCATTTGACCCAGCAATCCCATTACTGAGTATATACTCAAAGGATTATAAATCATTCTACTATAAAGACACATGCACACATATATTTATTACAGCACTATTTAACAATAGCAGAGACGTGGAACCAACCCAAATGCCCATCAATGATGGACTGGATAAAGAAAATGTGGCACATATACACCATGGAATATTATGCAGCCATGAAAAAGAATGAATTCCTGTCCTTTGCAGGGACATGGATGAAGCTGGAAGCCATCATTCTCAGCAAACTAACACAGGAACAGAAAACCAACACCATGTGTTCTCACTCATAAGTGGGAGTTGAACAATGAGAACACATGGACACAGGGAGGGGAATATCACACATCGGGGCCTGTCGAGGGCTAGAGGGGAGGGGAGGAAGAGCATTAGGACAAATATCTAATGAATGCAGGGCTTAAAACCTAGACAAGGGGTTGATAGGCACAGCAAACCACCGTGGTACATGTATCCCACGTAACAAACCTACACATTCTGCACATGTATCCCAGAACTTAAAGTAAAATAATTTTTTTTAATTAGAGAAATGATAAGAAAATAAAATTAAAATCCTTCAGTAGCCAACTCTTCTCATTTCTTAGGACATTTTTGTAAATCAGAACATAATAGAAGGATTTTCAAACATAATCATTATCATCATCACTATGGGTCCACTGTACTCTTTGAAAACCTCTAATGTAGTACAAGGTGCACCTGATGAGGGAGAGAGGCTATCTGGCTCATATCCTTGGCTGCCAGTCCATTGCTGTTTGATCTTGGGAAAGCTCTTTCACCTGTTTTGATCTTAGTTTCTTCAACTATATAATGAAAACGTTGGGCTAGAGAATATCGAAGATCTTTTTCAACTCTAACATTCTATATCTATAATTTCCCTCGCAAGCATCATTTCTTTGCCTCTACCTCCACTAGAGGTTCAAATTCCTAGTGATCAGCCACCCTAACTTTCCCAAATGGTGTGACACACTCCTATTTCTTAAGTTCTTACATATACAGTTTATCTTCTTCAAGATGTCCTTTTTTGTTTGCTTTTAAACAAAAAAATTAAACAAATTGTACCCCTCCATCCTTTGGAACTCTGTTCTCTTGGTAGATTTCAAAGCTATATTTCTATGATTTTAATACTACCATCTTTTACTTTATTTAAAGCCTCATTGAGCCATCTCTAAAGGTATAAGAATGACGTTTTTCCTATTTTCTGTAGATTCTTCGGTTTTATCCATTTAACTCAGAGTGACCATAGAGTAGGCATCATGAAAGTGTATTTTTGAAAGGCAGGTTAGTGTGATCTTCTAGGGAATGGTGGAATAATCTTTATATACAAGTTAGGATTCCTGGGATGAGAAACCGAGTTGGCTGGAAGTGGATTTCCACTGAATTCTCCAAAACCATAGGATATCCATGATCTAGGAACTTTGGGAATAAATTCATTTTAAATAATAGTCTGGTATGATGTTGGAGGAAATATCTCTGAAACTAGCAACCAGACATCTGTTTATTATAGTCCTGGCTCTGTTGTTAATTTTCGCTGTGACATTGGGAAAGTCACTTTACTTCCACGGATTTCAATTGTCTTTATTTAAAAAAAAAAAAAAAGGTAGAATTTAAAATATTTTTGCTCTTTGAATCACAGAATACCTGAACAGGAAAAAACAACTTTATCCCAAGCCCTTATTTTACAGATGAGGATAGTGAGGATACTGAGATGCAAAAAGCGAAATGACCTATCAAAGATCACACAACTAATTACCCATGAGAATGAACATACAACCCAGATTTCTAGACTGAGAGAGAGTTTATATTTTGAAAAGTCAACAGAGTCTTACATCAACCATGAGGTTCTGATCAAAGACACTGAGCACTCAACACCCCTGGCTAGACTGGAGGAAATCTGGGGAAAAGGCAGTTGGTTTACTAACAATTTTGAGTTTTTACCTTTGGTTCTTCACTCTTTTGCTCTCTGAATAATAATAATTACTTATTATGAGTGTGCTCAGAACATGTACAACCATTGCTTATAACTGGCCAAAGGGCTAACAACAAACCTGACGAGCAGTGACAGCTGACTCCAGGAGGCCATGTTTCCTGAGTCGATTCTGCACATCGGCCAGGCCTTTCCCATAATCCTCAGAGGTGACTTGCCACTCCACCTCCTCTAGCCAGTGCTGCAGATCTTCTGCATTATTTTCAAATTGCAGCTGCTGATTGGCCTCATACAACTGGGTCCCTGGGAGAAGACATTAGGTGGAAAACATTAGGTACCATAGCTATTCCTCTTTACACTATAATATACCTTCCTCCAATTTAAAGATCAATATAATATTTTAATATTGCAAAGAGGAAAATATAACTGTCTTATGTGTCTCACAAAAAGTCATCTTAATTTGTAGAATTCTGATAATATTTGTTTCTGAATCTAGTAATGTTCTCAAAGCAAAAATAAATAAGAAGTTACATTGCCTGATAAGGTATAGTTCTGCAGTGTCAGATTTTAACCATCTTGGGTGTCTACTTATGTGATTTTTACTCTCTGTCCGGACCTCTTTTTCAAGAAAATTCAAATCCAAACCCTCTATTTTCTAGGAGAAGCATAATGAGGTTGGTTCAGTTTGAAATTTATAAGTTTCTTTTTATAAAATTATTTTACTGAACTTTGATTTCCCCCTCTTAGTGCCTGCCTTTTATTACCAACTGTTCCCCACAGTTTTATCTTCTAGAAAATGTCTTTATTCACACTCTTCTCAAATTGATTCTGTACTATGATTTTATAGTAATTATTTGAATTATTTCTGCAAAGCAATTGCTGTGTCTCCTGATGGTGAAGAGTAGCAGTGAGATATTGTCATAGCCAAGTTGGATTTTGTTTTTCTAAACCAAAGATAAGGACATTATAAAAAAAAAAATCAGTATGATATATTTCTTCTGTAATCAGGGAAAAGTCATGTTTAAAGATGATATTTATAACAAGGGGCACACTAATAGGAAACACATTACTTGTGTTAATTACTAAAATTTGATTAATTTTCCAAAGTAAGGGGTAACATATAAGTGAAAACTCTCCAAGAACACATGTGGGATTGTTTTAAGAGCTTATAGTTGAACCTAAACATTTTCAAATAGGTTTAAAAAATCAACAAGACATCAGACTCTATAAGAATAAAATGTTGTAGGAAAATCACATGTGACATTAACAATCTTTTAATGTTTAATATAATAACCTGGTCATAGTATCTTGTCTAGTTTATAGAACCAAAATACAGAAAATTCATGGTTCAAGAATATTTGTTCAAGGGAAAGAAAAACAGCAAAGTGGGGAAAAAGCGAGGAAACCCAAAGTAATTTCAGCACATCTGCCCCTGCCAAAAAAATTTCTTAAGAAACCCTACACACCTGAAGAAAACATAAAATTGTGTTAATATATAGTGTTATCATTTCAGGCTGGATTTTTAAAACTTTACCAACAAAAGAAGGACACAGGGAAGCAAATGGGTAGTAGGCCTTCTCATAGAGGACACCAGATAAATTCACAGTACTAAAGATGAATGTAGTAGATTTCATAATTTAGAAAATGACCTTTCACCAAAACCTCTGCTTTTTACCTTTCTGTGCTGTCGCCTCCAGCAAGTCCTTCCAGAGGCTGTCAACTTCACTCAGACGAGTGGCCACGTGGTCAGAGGCATAGTGACCACCATCAATCATCTCTTGGCCAGTTTTCTGTATGTTTTTGAGCAGGGTCTCATTATCTGCCAATTCCTCTTCAAAGGCTTGCTGCTTTTGAACCCTGCTCTTCAAGTTCTGTGTGTCCTGAGATAAGATTAAAAAAAAAAAAAAAAAAAAACAACCATTACTTGAAGAATGAGGGACAGAAATTTTGAGAATAAGAGGTTATTTCTCAGTAGAAATCTGCCTATAATAAGAAGAGAATAAAAGGAAGAGCTTTCTTAGTCCAACATTTGAGAAACTCATGCAATTAATCCCTCTTTCTACATGTGGCAGACATGGCAAACTAATTCGGCTTTTTTTTTTCCACTGGCTTAGATATGGCTTGAAGATCATTTTGAATATGACACCCCATTCAAGCACTAACAATCAGAGCTGTCAATGAAAGGTAAACATTATTTTCCATTCCTCAGCTAGTACATGAATCTTCCATTCATTTGACCCATATATAGATCTGTTTGTTAAAAATATATTGGAGTTACAACTTATCTAGTGAATGCAAACACACACTAACAAGTTTTACAAAATGAAATGCAAGGATAAGATGTTCATAGCTCTATCAAGATATAAGAACAAAAGGATCAGGAGTATACAATTAAGACTAAATGATATCAGGAAAATAAACACTTTCAATAGATACTGGCCTAGAAATCAAAAGCCTAATTCTTGCCCTGACGGTAAATGTGAAAGTTTGTAAATATACATGTGTATACATGATAGTTCACATTACATAACATTTTCGAGCATAAAATATGTGTTAGTACAACCCTAAGGAAGAGGAATCTATGGCTCAGAGATAATTCTGCAATTTCCATTAACAAACTGAAGCGAAAATTCAAGCCCAGGTTTACCTGCTCTAGAGTTCATGCTTCTAACTTTTTGCTAAACCACTTCTAAATAACTGGATAACTTTGGGCAACTCACTTCCCAATGTAGATCCTGGCTTCCTTATCTATAAAATAAGGGGTTGTTTCCTTGAGCTGCAAAATTTGATAAGTTTATATTATACAAAATATTTAGGTTACTTTTGAGTTCCTAGTAGTTTTCAGAAACGTAAATGTATTGTTGGGATTAGACACAATATTTACCTAGTATAGGGATTCAGAGCGGAGCAGAAAATGTGAGAAAGGGGCAACAAGTAGCTCAATAAGGAATATTCACCACCTTCCCCCATTTGGCTAAGAATCACCAGAAATTGTGCCACAGGAAAGAGGTGAGGAACATCAGGGTTTAGGAAAACCAAAATCTAGATCCTTGATATTTAACTGGATAAATAGCCTTCAGGGAGTCATTGACTTTTTCTGAACTTCTGTTTTGTTGAACTTTTTTTGAACTTCTGTTTATCTATAAAATGAGGTCACCAGCTAAATGCTAAATTTCATTTTACTCCGAGACTGTGCTTCCATGAAATGAACTCCTGATACGTCTATCTAGCTCCTGAAAACTCTGCCTACCTTGTAGTCTTCATCATCTGCCAACTTTTTCTTCTTGTTGATCCAGTTCTTTAGGTCATCTGAGTCCTGATACAGTTGTTGCAGAAGCAATGAATCCTTTAGCAATCGACGTCTAGTGGCAGCCCTTTTACGTAGGGCATCCCGCCGGGCTAACAGCTGCAGAAACCATGAGTAAACTTATGGTCAGCAAAACCAGGTGTGAACATGTGAGATTCACTGACCACCCTGGTCACCATGCCCAAAACACTCTTCTTGATTCTGGTACACAGGCACACTCAGAAGCTCTAGGCCCTTGAACATACCCCATCACGGATAGCAGCAATGTTCTCTGAATCATAATGGTCATCATCAATCAGTTTGGTTGCAGTCTTGTCTACAGTCTGAAAAAAAAAATAAAAATGAATACTTTTCCCTCAGTGACTATTAAGTGGCCACAGTTTGGGTATCTATTTGAAGATGAAGCATAGCAATGTGGGAGGAGAAGTTTTAAGGCCAGCAGATGTAAGTCCTCATTCAGATTTCTGTTATAAATTGTATTTCAAAACATATACCTCAGGGCATATCAATCACCTTCTCTGTGTCACAATATTTTTAAAATACAGGTTACAATAAACAAATTCAGATGCCACAAGGAGGTGATTGGTTTACTCTGGTCTTCAAAAGGAAGCACTAATGACACAGCCATCTATCCGTCTATCTATTCACGTATTCATCTCTCTTCTCTCCTTCTCTCTTTCTCTCTCTCTCTCTCTCCAGTTACATGGGAGAAGAGTCAGAAATTGCAGAGGTAAGTTTTTACCCATGTTTAGCCAGAAATCTCCCAAATTACTAGAGCTCAGAATTAATGTGCTGAATACAAAAATGATCTAAAATAAATGACAACATTTTATAAACAATAAATTATTTTATACTGTTAGCTTTGACCGATGAGGATCAACAGAAAGAACAAACATATCAATTAATAAGGGACTTGATATTAATTGGACTTTCACTTCTTCACCATATTGATTTAATATTAACAGAGAAGACTGGGAATTTGCCTGTTATTTTTGTTGCTGCTGCTGCTGCTTCTGGTGGTGGTAGTGGTATGTGTGTGCATGTGGCAAGGGTGGCGTTAAAGTCAGCACAATCCTAGAAATAGCCAGAGGCATACAATGTGTTGTACCCATGAGGTCTTCCTGTGACTTCCCTGAGTCCTGCCTTTATATTCACCAGCTTTCTGGGCCATTGTAACTTAAGGTTCACAGGAAAACTCTGTAGTTGCATTTGATGAAAAACAGAAATATAAAGATATACTCTAAAGGAAAAATAGGCTATAAAGGAAAACAGAAGACAGCACTTAGATATCCAGATGTTACTAGGAAAGAGAAAATTATATTGATATTACTAGAGAGGAAGAAATTAAAAAATTAAAATTTTTAATTATGATTCTATATTGAATAACAATCAATTAATTTCTATTTACACTGCAGAAAATATAAAACATGGATCCAAGATAGCCAAATAGGAACAGCTCTGGAGTGTAGTTCCCAGTGGGAATGCAGAGGGTGAATGATCACCACATTTCCAAACAAGTTTTTGCTGCCCACAGACCAGGAGATTCCCGGGCGGAAAAGCACCACGAGTCTCCAGCATGGCTGTTTCAGCCGGTGCGGCGGGCCTCTGCACAAAAACTCACACAAATCTGGGTGATCATTTCAACTGGCACCTGGCATGCCTAGGAGACACAGTCGCCCATTCAAAGGAAAAAAGGGCTGAAACAGGGAGCCAGGTGATCTGGCTCAGTGGGTCCCACCCCGACAAAGACCAGCAATCTGAAAGGCTCTGGATTGAGGGTTTCACAGCAAGCACAGCTGGAGCCAAGATGGTCCAGCTCTGTGAGGGGAAGGATGTTCGCCATTACTGAGGCAGTCCTACACTACTGAGGCAGTCCACCATTACTGAGGCAGACCACCATTGTGGAGGCAGTTCTAACTATACCTCTATAAACAAAACCGCAAGGAAGTTCACACAGCAGCTGGGCAGAGCCCATGGCAGCTCAGCAACGCCTCTGTGGGCAGACTGTGAGCAGGCTACCTCCTTGCTGTGCAGGGCATCTCTGAAAAAAGGCAGCAGCATACAAGGAACTTATAAATAAAGCCCCACCTTCTCAGAACAGAGCACCTGGGAAAAAGAGGCGGTTATGAGTTCTGCTGCAGCAGACTTAAACGTACCTGCCCAGCAGCTCTGAATGGAACAACAGAGTGCATAGCTCAGCACCTGAGCTCCTATAAGGGACAAACTGTCTCCTCAAGCAGCTCCCCAAGCCCTGTATATCCAAAGAGACACCTCATAAAGGAAAGCTCAGACTGACATCTGGAGGGTATCCTTTGGGGACACAGATAACAGAAAAAGAAACAGGCAGCAACCCTTACTGTTCTGCAGCCACCACAGGTGTTCCTCAGCAAGCAGGTTCTGGAGTGGATCTCCAGCAGTCCTAAAACAGAGGAGCCTGACTGTTAGAAGTAAAACTAAAAAACAGAAAGAAATAACTTCATCATCAACAAACAGGACGACCACTCAGAGACTCCATCCGAAAGTCACCAACTACAAAGACCACAGGTAGATAAATCCACAGAGATGGGAAGAAACCAGTGCAAAAAGGATGAAAACACCCAAAACCAAAATGCCCCTCCTCCCATAAGGGATCACAACTCCTCAACAGCAAAAGGACAAGGCTGGATGGAGAATGAGTCTGATGAATTCATAGAAACAGGCTTCAGAAAGTGGATAATAACAAACTTCTCTGAGCTAAAAGTCCATCTTCTAACCCAATGCAAAGAAACTAAGAACCTTGAAAAAAGGTATGATGAAATGCTAATGAGAATAAGCAGCTTAGAAAAAAATATAAATGAATTGATGGAGCTGAAAAACACAACACGAGAACTTCGCGAAGCATACACAAGTTTCAATAGCTGAATCGACCAAGCAGAAGAAAGGATATCAGAGATTGAAGATCAACTCAATGAAATAAAACAAGAAGGCAAGATTAGAGAAAAAAAGTAAAAAGAAACTAACAAAGCCTCCAAGAAATATGGGATTTTGTGAAAAGACCTAATCTACATTTGATAGGTGTACCTGAATGTGATGGAGAGAATGAATCTAAGCTGGAAAACACTGTTCAGGATATTTTGCAGGAAAACTTCCCCAACCTAGCAAGGCAGGCCAATATTCAAGTCCAGGAAATACAGAGAACACCACAAAGATATTCCTCAACAAGAACAACCCCGAGGCACATAATCGTCAGATTCACCAGGTTTGAAATGAAGGAAAAAACGCTAAGGGCAGCCAGAGAGAAAGGTCGGGTTACCCACAAAGGGAAGTCCATCAGACTCACAGTGGACCTCTCAGCAGAAACCCAACAAGCCAGAAGAGAGTGGGGGCCAATATTCAACATCCTTAAAGAAAAGAACTTTCAATCTAGATTTCATATCCAGCCAAACTAAGCTTCATAAGTGAAGAAGAAATAAAATCCTTTATGAACAAGCAATTGCTCAGAGATTTCATCACCACCAGGCCTGCCTTACAAGAGCTCCTGAAAGAAGCACTAAACATAGAAAGGAACAACCAGTACCAGCCACTCCAAAAATGTACTAAATGGTAAAGACCATCTACACAATGAAGAAACTGCATCAGCTAATGGGCAAAACAACCAGCTAGCATCAAAATGGCAGAATCAAATTCACACATAATAATGTTAACCTTAAATGTAAATGGGCTAAATGCTCCAATCAAAAGACACAGACTGGCAAATTGGATAAAAAGTCAAAACCCATCAGTGTGCTGTATCCGGGAAACCCACCTCATGTGCAAGGATACACATAGGCTCAAAATAAAGGGATGGAGGAAGATTTACCAAGCAAATGGAGGGCAAAAAAAAGCAGGAGTTGCAATCCTAGTCTCTGATAAAATAGACATCACACAAACAAAGATCAAAAGAGACAAAGAAGGGTATTACATAACGGTAAAAGGATCAATGCATCAAGAAGAGCTAATGATCCTAAATATATATGTACCCAATACAGGAGCACCCAGATACATAAAGCAAGTTCCTAATGACCTACAAAGAGACTTAGACTCCCACATGATAATAGTGGGAGACTTTAACACTCCATTGTCAATATGAGACAGATCAACAAGACAGAAAATTAACAAGGATTTCCAAGACTTGAACTCAGATTTGGACCACGCAAACCTAATAGATATCTACAGAACTCTCCACACCAAATCCATGGAATATACATTCTTCTCAGTACCACATCACACCTACTCTAAAATTGACCACATAATTGGAAGTAAATCACTCCTCAGCAAATGCGAAAGAATGGAAATTGTAACAAACAGTCTAGCCATGTGCAGAAAGCAGAAACTGGACCCCTTCCTGACACCTTCCACTAAAATTAACTCCAGATGGATTAAAGACTTAAATGTAAGACCTAACACCATAAAAACTCTAGAAGAAAACCTAGGCAAAACCATTCAGGACATAGGCATAGACAAGGACTTCATGATTAAAACACCAAAAGCATTGGCAACCAAAGCCAAAATAGACAAATGGGATCTAATTAAATTCCAGAGCTTTTGCACAGCAAAAGAAACAATCATTAGAGTGAACTGGCAACCAACAGAATGGGAAAAAAATTTTGCAATCTACCCATCTGACAAAGGGCTAATATCCAGAATCCTTAAAGAACTAAAACAGATTTACAAGAACAAACAAACCCATTCAAAAGTGGGTGAAGGATATGAATAGATGATTTTCAAAAGGAGACATATATGAAGCCAACAAACATATGAAAAAATGCTCATCATCACCGGTCATTAGAGAAATGCAAATCAAAACCACATTGAGATACCATCTCATGCCAGTTAGAATGGCAATCATTAAAAATCTGGAAACAACAGATGCTGGAGAGGATGTGGAGAAATAGGAACACTTTTACACTGTTGGTGGGAGTGTAAATTAGTTCAACCAATGTGGAAGACAGTGTGGTGATTCCTCAAGGACCTAGAAATAGAAATTCCATTTGACCCAGCAATCCCATTACTGGATATATATCCAAAGGATTACAAGCAGTTCTGTTATAAAGACACATGCACACGTATGTTCATTGTGGCACTGTTTACAATAGCAAAGACCTGGAACCAACCCAAATGCCCATCAATGATAGACTGGATGTCTATCGATGATAGACTGGACAAGGGAAATGTGGCACATATACACCATGGAATACTATACAGCCATAAAAAATGATGAGTTCATGTCCTTTGTAGGGACATGGATGAATCTGGAAACCATCATTCTCAGCAAACTGACACAAGAACAGAAAATCAAACACCACATGTTCTCACTCATAGGTGGGTATTGAACAATGAGAACACATGGACACAGGGAGGGGAGCATCATACGCTGGTTCTGTTGGGGGGAACTAGGGGAGGGACAGTGGTGGGGAGCGGTAGGGAGGTCGGGGAGGGATAACATGGGGAGAAATGCCAGATATAGGTGATGGGGATGGAGGCAGCAAACCACATTGCCGTGTATGTACCTATGCAACAATCCTGCATGTTCTGTACATGTACTCCAGAACCTAAAGTGCAATAATATATATATATATATGTATATATATAAAAATAAAATATAAAACACAATCATACTCTTCATTAGAAAAAAAATGGCCCATTGTCTAGAAAACCTTTCTAAATATGACTTGTAGAATAAGAATTGTGTGATAAAAATTGAGTATTTTTCTGGCTCTTTTCACTTTTTTTTTCTAAAGGTATGTATTAAGCTTTGGCTTTCTCACTATATAAACATTGTATGTTTATAAAATTAAATCAAAGAGTTTGAAAAACACACAAATAAACACATCAACAACAAAAGAAGAGTTGTAACTTGATTATGGAAAATCCTCAGGTTACATCTAGGAGTTATAGGAGTAATGCTGTCTAGGGACAGGTGTTGTGTAAAATTACATATATGAAGAGGAAGCCAATGCCCAAACTAGGGCCCATTTCTTACTGTAATCTTCTCTTCCTGGGCAGTAAAGGCCTCCTCAAAGTCATCATGCTTCTGAAGAAGGGCTTCTGCACTGCCCAGTGAGTTTCCCAGATCCTCGTTTTCCAGGAAAGCCTGTAGAAGAAAGAAAGACACACCTAAACTGTGCCTCACTGGTAAGAAACATTCCTCTTGGCGTATCTCTGAAACAAGGACTAAGGCAGGAGGGAACAAGGTGGGAATTAGCACGGATTATGATAGTGGGTAGAGATTAACCTTAAACAGCAGGAGCTTCAGGCCTCCTTCCTGATACTCTCACACAATTTTCTCACCTATGTTTCTGTGTCTGTCTACATGGAATCCCCCGACCAATCTAGGCTTTGTTCTGAGCTCTCGAAAGTGCCTCAAGCGCCCTACTCACCTCCACTCTAATGTACCCTGCCTGACTTTTCAGTTTTCTCTTCCTGACCCTTTACCAATTTGATATTTATTTTGCCTTACATTTAATTGTAGTTAAAACCTCTCTGATAGGAATGTAAGCATTTTTATATGCAATTGTTGACGAGGGACCTGTAGGAGCCTTACGAAAAGGGCCCATCTTCTCTTCTCCTCATGGATCACTCTCTAGGTCCCAACACAAGCTTTGACTCACAGGAGTGGTTGTGAGGGAGCTCACAGTAGTCTTGCTGGCAAATGAAGGGTGAGAGAAATGACTTCTAGAGATGGTATGTACCCCTCCCATTACCTCTTGTCTGCTCATCCAACTGTCCACTTGCTCACTGTCTCGGTAGAAGAGGTGAAAGTCCAAACACTGCTCATACTGATGATGACGCTTGTCCCACAGTTCCAGCAGGGCAGCCCAGTTGTTGGCAAGTATTTCCATCTTTGGAAAGAAGGAGATGATGTACATGAAAGATATTTAATTTATTTTATTCTACATTTATTAAGCATGTAATAAATGCAAAGCCATTTGAAGGATACAAAATATAAACTGGGAATGGACTTTTAACATTCCAACATTTAAGCACATGATTGTACTATAAGAAACATGGGATGCATTCCATGAAAGAGATAAAACACTGTATGTATAAGGAAACGAAAAAAGACTAATTCTGATTAAGAGAGCCAGGAAGTAGAAGTATGGGAAATAATGGAAAATGTCATACCAAACAGATTTAAAAGATAGGAAATGGGTATCAGGACTTAATGCCATAAGCAAAGGAACTACAAATAATTGTTAGATAATGTAATGTGAGCTAGAGAAAAGTGCAGTGTCTAAAAAAGTATAGACAGTTGATGAAATCCAAGTTCACAGATCACATAAAACATCACACTGAGAAGTTTGCATTTTATTCTGAAAACACATAAAAACCATCATGAAAAGAGAAAAGAGACATTCTCAAACACATGAAAAGCCTTTGTTTCTGGTCAAGCTTATGCCCAATAATTTTCAGCTTATTACACCTGCTGCTATATTATCTCCATCAAAAAAGCAGAACAGGGCTGGGCGTGGTGATTCACGCCTGTAATCCCAGCACGTTTGGAGGCCAAGGTGGGTGGATCACTTGAGGCCAGGAGTTCAAGACCAGCTGGCCAACATGGTGAAACCCTGTTTCTATAACAGCAACAACAAACAAAACAACAACAACAACAAAAATTAGCTGGGCATGGTGGTGTACACCTGTAGTCCCAGCTACTTGAAAGGCTGAGGCAGGAGAATCACTTGAACCTGGAAGGCGGAGGCTGTAGAGAGCTGAGATTGGCCGCTGCACTCCAGCCTAGGTAAAAGAGAGATACTCCATCATCAACAACAAAAGCATAATAAATTATTAGAATCCCATAATTGTTGAGTTTTCAAGGACTTTGAGTTCTGCTCTTTCTTTGACAGAGCCTTGTTAAAAACAAAGCAAAACAAAACAAAAACAAAATTTATATTATAATGTTCCCACAGAGTTCTGGGAGAATTCGAAACGTGGTTATCTCAACCTCATCCACAGCACAGTGCTGGAGGCTGTGCTTAGTATCTAGTGAGATGCAAAGAGGCATGAAGCTCTTATTGTGACTATCATTCTAAGGAGCGTCCAGACTCTGCCACTGGCACAAAATCTCTCTGGGTCAGAGTGCAGAGGTGAAGCCCTGTGATGTAGAAGGTTTGAATGATGGCAATACTGATTTCTTCATTCAATGGAATGCTGGATGTTTAAGATTGTTCTGTTAGTTGATGTAAATTTGAAAATCACAGATACAGGAATGTCAGCTTAATCTGAGGTAGTATTGAGAAAAGAAGAACAAGTACAGATGTTAGCTACCACAGGCACTGTGCTAGGCACAGTAGGGGATCCAGAGGTGAACAAGGTGCAGTCCTCCTAGAGTTTACAGTCTAGATATGAGAACGAGAAGGTCACAAAGCCAGGCATATGTCAGGAGGCAAAATGGCATGAAGGTTTCAAATCAGGTAGAAGTTAGAGGATTGATGAAATAAAGGCTCAGAGATGAGGAAGCACACATTGTATCTTGAAAATTTCAAGGGACTCAATTTAGCTAACCAGTACAGTTAAATCTCTACATCTGTAGGTTCTACACCTGTAGATTCAACCAACCATGGATATATAAAATATTTTTTTAAATTCCATCTGCACTGAACATATACAGACTTTTTTGCCATTTTTCCCTAAACAATACAGTATAACAATCGTTTACATTGCATTTACATTGTATGAAGTATTATAAGTGATCTGAAGATGATTTAAAGTGTACAGGAGAATGTGCATGTGTTGTATGCAAATATTATGCTGTTTCTTGAGCATCTGCTGATTTTGGCACTTGAGTGAGGTCCTGGAACTGATACCCCATGGATAATATGTGACAATTTTATATGAAAGGAAACAGCGTAAAAGTTCATATTATTAACATGTTTAAAGGACTTATATCCTTTTCCCATTCAGAGATTATCATATTATTGTGAGATTATGTAATAACTAAATATATAATTGGAATTTCGCAAACTCTGTTAAACTAGATTACCTTTTCCCGAACTTCATCAGAGGCTTCATGACTGGCATCCAGGAGGGCTTGACCAGTCTCAGCAGCAGATTGAAATCGGTCATCGTAAGAGTCAATTTCATGCTGTGGCCACAAATCAAAATGTCTCAAAATGCAGCAAGAAACCTGGCATTCTGCCAAATCACCTGCCCCCCCTCCTCGTACTGGGGAGCCTTTCTTCTCTACCTTATGCTGCTGATGCCTGTCCAGCAGAACTTCTCCACCAGCCACATCTGTTGGCAGCTCATCAGCGTTGATTGCAGCAGTCTTCTCCTTCATCCAGCCTGAGAGTTCATCAAAGTCAGATGAGAACCGATGGTACCTGTGGGAAAAGTGAGGTAAAAGACAGCAAGGAGAAAACAGATATGAAAGGGCATTGAACAAAGAGTTAGGTTTGGGTTGAGCTACCGTGTGTGAGATGCTCCTTGCTCTAATCCTATTTTCCCCTTTTCTTGATGTATTTCCTGTTATTTACAGTCAGAGTTTAGTGGTGCAGGTTCTAAGTCCTTCGCTCCAGGTTGTATATTTCTAGGGTAGGTGTGTCACTGTAGGATGTGACCCATGGGCATTACATCTCCACCACCTCAAGGTCACACCTACCCCAGAGGTACTTAAAATGGAGTGAGATGCTCGCAATGCAGCCAATAAACAATACATGTTGTTATAGAAATAAGCATCTCATGGGAAGGAAGAACTGAGATTAGCATTAGGATTCCTCATGTTTCTATCTCATCTTTAACTCTATTAATGAGAAACAAGAACTGCAAAACACCCATTTTAAAAAGCTAAATGCTCATCATTTGTTTTTAAATCATAACCACAAGATAAGCACTGTCCTCTGGTTATTTAAGGACTACTGAATAATAAACCATAGGAAGGAATACTGAAATGAGGCCTGGTTATTAGGGGTTTTTGTAAGCTTGTAATCCACATTCAGGAAATAATACTGAAGTTATTTTGATGCTCTAAAGCTTGTATTTCATGTATTTCAGTTCCTTAGCTAGAGCCAGGTTTTGAAATGTTTCTTCAATTGGTTTTCCAGTTTTTTGAGCCACTTCATAGCATCTTACAGTAATACAAGCAGGGGAAGACGGAAATCCGCAGATGAGTGGAGGTGTGATGTTGATCACAGTAGTCTCCCTTTATATTCAGGAGATACATTTCAATATACCCAGCAGGTGCAGAGACTGCAGATAGTACTAAACACTATGTACACTACGTTTTTTCTTATACCTATATGCCTATAATAGAGTTTGATTTATAAATTAGGCACAGTAAGAGATTAACAACAACAATAATAAAATAGAATAATTAAATAAGAATTACTTAAACATAACCATTGTGATACTAGGACAATCAATCCATAACTTAGACTGCTACTAAGCGATTAGCAAGTGAGTAATATATAGCACGATATGCTGGACAAAGGATTCATCTTCCAGTGGGACAAAGCGGACCAGCCAGACATTTTATCATGCCTCTTAGAATGATAAGCAATTTAAAACTTATAAATTATTCATTTCTGGAATTTTCCATTCAACATTTTCAAACTGTGGTTGACTGCTGGTAATTGAAACCACAGATAAGAGGTATGACTATATTATATCAGTCTACAAAGGTCTTCCTTTGGCGAGTTAAATCTTTTGTCTCTACTGAGCAGGCAGGAGAGCCGATTCTCTCGCTATTTGACTCACTTTACTCTTATGTTTGCTCTTGCTATTACATCTGGGCCCTGTAGAGACAGGTAGAGAAATAAAGAAGAGGGATTTCCCACCAATAAGTAGCCTGTAGTTTTGCATATCTGCTGGTGGCCAGGGCACGAATATGCTCCCAGTTGGAGACCAGATCCTCTTTCATCTGCTGGATCTCAGGTGCATCTGAGGGATGGGAAACTGTCAGCTTCTCTGCTTTGGCACATAACTCCTTCACCTTTGGGATAAAAAGGAAACCTAGTAGGAAGCCCAGTTACTCTGACTCCCCTTGGCAAAGCTTCGTGAGAGAGGTATAAAAAAAATCATATGAATAATAATAACTTGTAAATAGACATATGAATATATTTCTATTAATATACAAATGTATTATATTGATAATTACAGCTCTCTACTTTTCCATCTCTCATTATGCTAAGTAATTGACAAAAATGTTCTCATTTTATATTATTCATTTAATAACACCATGAGGTGGCAATTTTTCTTAGTTTTCTTTTCTGTGAAAAGTGAAAGATTAAGTATTTTATTTGCTTAAGATCATTCAGCTAGAAAATGTCAGGAGCAAGGTTCTAACCTAAGTCTTTCCTTCCCCACTCCTCTCTTCCATTTCCCTAACTACTGCTGTGGGAGGTAGAAAGACATTTCTGTCCAAGAGGCCAAGAAAATTTCAGTAATGCTGGATGATTTTCACCACAACCTCTGAGGAGCAGGGTTACTAGGGAAAAATGTGGGTATTGGTGGCTTTTCACTTGTGATTAGCCCTTTCATTATATTCACCTATAATCAGATGATGTCTAGGGCTTGGAATTTCATTACCATTACTAATCAAATTATGGGCTCTATTATTCATTATTAGGGAAAAAGACTGAAAACAACAATAAAGAGGAAGAATGAAAGAAAAAGTAGAATGTTGGAAGTTTGCAGAAACTGGACACAGGGATAGGGCTAAAATTAAATCACAGCAGGCGCTGATCTTTCTGTAGGCTGACTGCCCCGTGGACCCTCAGAAGTAATTGGTTTACGTTCTGGTTACATTTGTGAGGGGAAGAAGGAAAGGATGTAAATCATTTAAGAAAATAAGCTTGTTCCAAGTTCTAGCGTGCCTGAGGTTTTCCAGGTTTCAAAAGGAAATCTAAAGGTAGGTTAAGCATTAAGGGTCTTGAAGTTTATTTTAAAAGGAGAAGAAAATGTTTTTCTGATCTTGAATACAAAAAGAATCAGGATTCAGTTACAACAGAACAAAATGTGGTTAGATGAAAGGATAGAGTCTGGCCAGGGTGTATTTCACTCATTGAGGTTAGGATTCATCCTTGGAGTTATATATATATATTTTAATTGTGAAATAAATTAGAAAAACACAAGAGAATATAAACATTTGTGTATTTGTAAATAATAATAATTCAAATGAAAATAAGGTATACCCAGTATCCACGTACGAGTTATGAACTAGAATGAGGAAATATATTCAAATGCCCCATAATTTTTTCTTCATTGAAAAGAGTGAACTTATTGTGCTTTCTGGAGGCATGGTATTAGGAAAGATAACCAACAATTGCCTCTTCTAGCTCGAGAGGCTAACCATTTCTCTGACAGCACCTTACCTTGTCACTCATGACTGCAAGATTTCTCTCAAGTCCCTTGTGACTGTGAAACAGTCCTTCAGAGGCAACAAGATCTTTTCCATAGTCCTCCGAGGTGAGTACAGGTTCCTTCTCCTTGATCCACTGGATGGCTTCAGTCACATCCCTGCAGACATTAACAAGAGCTCCAACCAAAGAAGATAGCATGCATTGCAGGGCAAATGGTCCAACAGAGCACACAGCAAAAACTACCCTAGTTTACCCAGGAGCAATTACCCTTTCTTCCTACATAGGAGCAAAAAGTAATATAAAGTGTTCTTGCTTAATGGTTATTTCCATTGAGATGTGAAGGCTCTGGGCTTCTTGACAGCTGAGCCTCTAGAGATATGTTCCATATCTGGGTCAGCTCTTTACAAATGCTTTGCTTCTTCCTAACTCCACCTTCCTTCTAATTATTAACCTGCTTCCCTTCCCTCTGCAGAGCTTCCGTTCCTAAATCACCAGTGCTATTTTTTAAATTATTTTGATCTCCAATCTCTACATCGTTGGCCATAGAGTGGGTCACAGATTTCTTTACCCTCTCCTTTGCTGTCTCAAAGGCAAGTACATGATCCACCTTAGTTTGAAGTGTTGACAACTAATTGCTAACAGAAGTAGAAAGAGCCTAATACAAATGACACAGCTTTTATAAAGCACTTCAGAGTTTTCTATAAAGCAGTGGCCAGATCTATACCTTTTGAATCGCTGGAGGTCTGCAGCACTGGACAGAGATTTCTGTCTTTGGAAAGCCAGACCATGAAGGCGCTCCCAGGCAGCATTCACCTCATCTTGCTTAAACTTAATTAAGGGTAGCTCAGGATGGTTTTTCTACCAAAAGAAAACAACACTGGAGTTAGACAGAGAAGAGATTGTATTTAAAAAATATTTAAATACTTTTCATTTTACGCTGGTTTATATGTTTTCAGAAGTGAAGACGCACCATTTTAGCCAGACACTGAACTGCATCATAGCCCTAGCCCCTAGCTCCTTGATGTACATTACCAAAACCTAGAAAAACGATCTCTTTTATGTAAGGGAAAGTGCTCTTTCGGGCAGTTCCTTAGCGAGATTGGGGCATTATTGCCAAGAGACCCTGAAAGTACCCTTTTATGTTTTGAAACATGAGAGATAAACTCATCCTGTTTCTACTCAATTCAACATACTCAGTATCCACGGAAGTATTTTATTAGCCTCCCAGGTGTTGCATCTGTGCCCACAGCAGTGGACCAGCCTATTAGCACAGGCTTTCCAGCCCTGTTGTTATTTTTAGAGTTCTACCTTGCCAATGCTTGAAATCTCCATGAAATCCTGGAAACCAAGGAAAAGAAGAGGAATTCCTGTTTATGAAATACAATTTAATTTTCTCAAATATTCATTCTGTGCGCCTTAACTTTTTTGTGGTCTTCACACCTTTGAGATCCAATAAAAGCCATTTTCCTCTTCCCAGAATTATAGAAACATGCTTTCACATATGCTTTTGCAGAACATTTCAGACATTTTTGTAAGCCATCCAAAGTAGTGAGATTTGTGAGTACTAGATTAGGATAGAAGCATCAGTCTGTTTTGATACTTTGCAGTTTTGAGGCATTTCCATATGCCTAAGTCTCCTTATTCTTCCTGTCCCTATTTCTCTCCATTTTCATTCCCATTCTCAAGTTTCTCCAGACAGAATTTTCTATTTTCTGCTTCTCAAGTACATGGTTCTTTCTATTACAGCAGTGTAGAGCAGACAGTATAATCTAACTGTCTTGAATTTATTCTTTCTGCAGTAGACTGGGAAAAAATGGCATGCTATTTTGCTGCTCATCCCTTCAATAAGTGGAGTATGTTTCTTCAAGTCTTAGATTTCGGATAGTCTTTAACTTGCTTGCTGATAGAATGTAGCAGAAGTAACTTTCTATGCACTCCAGCACCTAGGCCTCAAGAAAACTTTCATTTACAATTCTCGCCTTCTTGCAACACTGCATGGTCTACTGAATGATGACAGGTCACCCAGAGAAATCCCCCATCATCCTTACCAGGGTCCCAGATATAGGATTGAGGCCACTTTAGATTCTTCACCCCCGCTGAGCCACCCGACAACTCCAAACACTTAAAAACACCAGATGATATCAGGAAAACAGCCCAGCAGAGCAGCTCAACCATCTGACTCACAGAGTCATTAACAAAGAAGATGCTAAGTTGCGTGATTAGTTAGATAGTAATAGATAATTGAAAAACCCCACAGCAAGAGAAAATTTAGAAACTACTAGAAATATGGCCTGAAAAAAAAATAGGAAGACAGATTATTTTTCCTACGCCAGCACTCATTCATCCTGAAGTCTTCTTTTTATTAACGCAGGACAATCATCCTCACTATAGAGTTGCAATCATAATGAAACTATAAATGGAAAAGCAAAATATAGCCAACCATTGGGGTTTATTTATTTTATACACATATACTTACATATACATTTAAACTTACATATATACATGTATGTATATATATATGCATCACACACTTAGGTATTTTCTTAAGTAAATAGAAGTAAAACTACTTCCATTCCTTCCTCAATCCTCCCAAATAATCATGTATAATGATCGTATGTATACACATATGTGCATGTATATTATGTATACATATATATGTATATATAATGGCAGTTCAACATTATTTTATATGCCCTGAGACTTTATTTTTGTGCTTTTTTCATGAAGAAAGAGCGCCCTATTAACATGAGTAATTAGTGTACTGCATGGTACAGGAGCTGTTATAAATGGCAATAACTTCACTGCCCATTGTGTATTTAATTTCTCCAAATATACACAAACACACTCTTTCTCCCTCTCTCTCTCTCTCAACCCTCCATTTCAATAGACTTGTAAGGTGTAGGTCCAGAGGGGAGAGGAAACTGCTCAGAGTATGTGACTCCAGGGATATGCCAGCTTCTGTTTTCTCATAATGCCCTGTATCTGTCATATCCCATCTACTAACGGCTGGAAGTTATTCTTAAGGATCAAACCCTTTCCATGGAGCGAGTCTTTTGCTCCCACTCACCTCGGCACTCTCATTGGCATATTGATTCACTTCATCGACTCTCCCCTCTCTAGCTGCCAGATCCACTTGGAAGTCTTCAAATTTCTTATGCAGAAGTTCTGTGCGCTCCCAGTCTTCACCTAGCTCCACTGATGTCACTATAGCCTCCTGTAGACACAGATAAGTTTATTTAGTTGCCAGCAAACATTTAGGAGTTTCTGCACGTCAAAAGCTCAAAACCCTTGCTTGCATTCCCAGGACAACTCAAATGGAGATACTGGGGGAAATCGGGAGAAGCTCTCCTGGGAAAGGCCAGCAGCAGAAGTAGATTTGTTAAGGTAGCACCTTGGCCCAAAGGAAAGTGCTCTTCTGGGCAGTTCCTTAGCAAGAATGGAGCACTATTGGCAACAGACCCTGAAAGCTCCCTTTTGTGTTTTGAAACATGAGGGATAATGTTTCTACTCAATTCAACATACTCAGTATACACGAAAGTATTTTATTAGCCATTTGCTTATCTAAATCTTTAGTCCTAACTATTGAAGTATTCTTTAAGTATTTAGAAAAATAAAACCCTCCATCATTATAGGCACTGAGAGACAAAGGATTAGAGAAAGAGCTGTTCATACTCTCAGCCAGACCCCAGAGTAAGAGCAAAACATGGAGAGTTAAAAATCATGGAAGCAGAAGAGGGATGAGCCTAATTATCTTTCAATGCATGGTCTTTATATAAGTCTTGCCTCTTCCATATTCAGATCCATATATTCAGACTTACTCCATACAATGTCAACCTCCAGATACCCCTAGATTTTGGCCCCAAATTTCCTCTTCTTCCAAAGAACAAAGGCCGGGAACAGACATCCTGACTTCCTTGTGAAGAGCCTGTGGTAATTTGCTTGGGGTACCTAAGGCAGAGGAGTGGGAGGCCCTACGTGCTTGCTGTTTTCAGTTCTTTACCTTGTCTCCGATCCACTCTAAGATGTCAGCACACTTCTGTATGTACTGCTGGAACTGGAGGGCCTGCAGCAGCAGGGCACCCTTCTCCTGGGTCAGCTCCAACAGCAGGTCCCACAGACGGCGTAGTTCCTCTATATGGGCCTTTAGGAAAGAAGGGCAGAACCACTCAGCTGCAGAGGCTGTGATCAGGGAAACACTCAGAGACTTGTGCAAAAAGGGACCTGGATAAAAATTCTTTCTCGCAATTACTCATGCATTAGTTGCTCAACAAACACTTAAAGGAGGAAACAGAATATATATGGAAATAGCTAATAAGCACAGCCAAATGTGAACTTATATAAGATAACATTTTGTAAAAATGCTTTGCAGTTTTAAAGGATGGAAAAATTATAAACAATAAGACGGGAAGGAGGAAGAAAGTATGGAAAAGTGCTCATTTGAACTGAGCCTTACGGAGCAGAAAGATTTTTGACAGTTCAATAATAAGCATAGCATGTTCTAAGAACAGCAAGCAGCAAGGGCAAAGGCATAGGAGAAACTTAGCATAAATTGTCTGCCAGAAAGTGTGAGAGCTAAAATTTTTAGCTCTATAAGTTATAAGAAAATTATTGGCACCAAAACAGTAAGAGTGTTTTGGGACTACACAGTTTGAAACTCTATAGAGGGCTTTGAATGTCAGATTAACTCAGAACATTATGTACTACCTGTCTTATATAACTGAAATTGCCATCTATGTCATATCTTCAAGATTCTTATATTTTTTAACTACTCCATTGCTCTGGGTAGCATGTGGACCACATATGTCTTCAAACCCTGCAGTGGTACCATTTGCTGTAGCCCCAGTGATTCTGACAGAAATGAAGATGTTTCGAACATTTCTCAAATATTTTAATTAATGTAGATGTTGGTTATATGCAAAACTGTTCATAATACAAAAGTTAGTTCTATTTTATAGAAATAAACAAGTTTTGAGATTCTTCTTTAAAATAAGATGCTATTCTGGCTAAAAATCGGTGTTCCTTGATCATGTTTTGATGACAGAATGGGCTAGAATTGTTATGCTATGTATAGAAAGGCAGACCCAGTTTTAAGAGATAGAATGCAAGTTTGTTTTGACAATTAAAAACTACACAAATAGTAAAATGTTCACTCACACAAACTGAATATACAATGTTAGCACAACCATTTGAAAGAGTTCACTGATCAAGTCCAAAAAGAGCTGTTACATTAATAATGGTTTAGAGAGTATAAATGCTTATTGAAATAGCAATGATCTTCAGTTCTAGATGTTCAGAGAAGATTTTCTGAATACACAGAATTTTAGGAGTTTTTAGAAGTAATAAGAAGGGACAGTTTGGAGAGGTACAATAGTAGTTGTAGGATATGAGGTGTGAAAAGAAAGAGGCATCATAGACAAAGAAAAAAATATTTTGGAAACATTCAAATGAGAGAGCGTTCTTTGCTGGGAGAAGAGACGAGGACATTGAGCTTAGAGGGAATAATTAGAAAGAACACTTGGAAAAGCTAATTGAACTGGGACATGTGGAACAGGTTTAGGTGGGCTTGATCTTGAGCCAAATTATCCTGCAATGGTATAGGAGGAATGTTATACCATTTAATGATGGCTTTCATATCATCGTTCTCTTCACCCCAAGAAACACAAAGATATCCCATCATTTTTTCTGCCTCAGCCCCAGTGGAAGATAAGAGGCTGGAGTCCTGGTTCTCAAGCCAGCCACGTCAAGGTTTATATCTGATATAATCAATTAAAACCCTGATAACAGAATCAACAATTGGAAACTTCTTCAAGGACCCATACATATACCTTAGTTTCTTCATGGGCAGAATGACCCTCAGTAAATCGTTCTTCCCTGGTTTTTTCCAGTTCAGACATGACTCTTGATTTTGCTTGCACCTCTGTCTCAAAGGATTTATGCTTCTGGTATTTCCCCTAAAGTTTAGAAATCAGAGTTTTTGGCTAATTAAGCACAGTCTTCATGGGAAAAGTTCACTCTAGGTACAGCCACTCAATACAGGCTCTCAAAGAGTCCTAGGCTCAGTTAGAGGCCATAAAGAGTCTTTTCCTGTCCCCACAGGAAAAGAAACTTTAGGAAGTTTTCAGTAAATACTGAAACCTATGTTGAGCCTTATGACCTATGCTGAGCCTTATTTTAAAGGTTCAATAGACTGCCATAGGAATAAAAGAGCATAACACACAGTGTCCTTACTCATCAGAAAAGAGGAATAACTGAATTTTTTTGGAAGTAAAGCACAATGAGAAAGATGATAGTTATAATAATGGCTGTTTAGAAAACTCAAGAGGTGTTTTTTTTGTTTTGTTTTTCTGTGTGTGTACTGTGTCTGTTCTTGCGATATATAAATTGATCTACTTAATATAGCACATTATTTTGTTCTTTTTCTAGGTGTTTCATGTCCAAAATCAATTGCTTCTGATTATGACTATGTCACATGATATAATTTTAGGTGAACAGAAAGGGGTAGGAGTTTTCACCAAATTTCTTCTACTGAAACCTCCCATTTGAAGTTAAAAGCCATGAATAACAATTTAGGAAAATAAAACTCTGGTTCACTCATCTTTCTCTGAAGAGTGCCACATGCTTTAATTTTAGATGATCAGAAACGGGTAGGAGCTTTCACCAAACTTCTACTGAAACCTCTCATTAGAACTTAAGAGCCATGAACAGCAATTTAGGAAAAACGTAAGAGCCATGAATAGCAACTGAGTTAACCAGGTTAACTCTTATCTTTCTGAGAAGAGTGGAGAACAGCTGCTTCAGAAGCATTGATGACTCTTCACTCTATTTCCCTTCTTAACACCCCAAAATATCAAAATCACACGGTCAGAAATTTCTTGAATTTGCAGTTGATGGTTTGCTTGTAGATCAATTTCAGATGAATATTACAACCATCAAATTCTATATAGAACAAATTTCCTTTGCAAATAACACTCCGATGTTTAAGAAATTGAAGACATGGGCTATTTAGACAAAGAATTTCTGTTCCTAACGTGTAGTCTGATCTTTCTATTACATCACCCCCACTACAGTTAACCAGATATATACTTAAATTGCCATAATGTTTGTTTTGGATCTGAAAAAAATTGATGTGATTTTTTACTTTTGGCATTGATGAATGCTTGACCGTGAAAATATATAAAGTATCCTATGATTTTATCAATAAGCAATATCCTGGGTTAATGATTTAAAACAATACAGATTCTGAATGTAAATTCATTGTAAGAAACAGTTCTGTGCTTTCAATAACTGAAAAATTGAAAAATTTGAAAAATCACATTTTGTTTGGTGTTTATGTTCTCAGTCTCACCTCTCCAACTTCATAAGGGAAAATGCACTTGTAGATTTTCTCTTAATTCAATTCTTTAACTTTCCATCCCGCTGACTTATTTTTGTTTCTAAATGGAATCTAATTATACTCACACATACCCATTATCATTAACATAAAGAAAAACCTATTCCCTCTCTAGAGATCTTAGGGTTTGCTCTGGGGCAGTCAAGAGAACTGAGTGACCTGTATATTAGTTGGGTCTTCATAGCTCTTATCACTTAAAATCTTGACTTTCTCCATGATCCACTTCCCCAGATCATCTGCATCTCGCTTGAAAACTTGTAAGTGGTAGGACTCCTCAAGCTTCTGACCCCTCTCAGCGACCCGCTCCTTGAAACTTTGATACCGAGTCAACACCTCCTGACGCCTCTCCTGGATCTCTTCTGCTGTTTCCAAAACCTTTGGCCCGCTGCTCTCCACAACCTGCAAGTTAAAAAGATTCTGTTTGTTGCTAGTTCTCAAATATTTAATGTGTTGCCCCGTTTATCTATGTCAAGGCATTTACTCATGTCGGACCCATGTTCAGATATCCTGAAGCCTGTACGTGACTATTGTTAGAAGGGCTGGAGTATATTTATATAACTTTAACCACATAGAGCTACCGTTTGGGTAAAAAGTTCTTGATCATCCAGAAGACTCTCCCTACTTTTTACATAAATTTGTGCTAGGATTTAAGTTCTATAGATAGAATTAAATTGGACTGATCACGGAACAATTTTAATTAGCAAAATCACAGATTTCTGGATAGATAAAAAGAAGTATAATGTTATTGCTTTCAAGGGCTAAAAAGGTGTTGACAAGTGCTTATTATTTTGAACTTAATAAATAATTAAGAATGGCTTGTATTAATTTAGTTAATGATATATGCAACAGTTTGAAAATTTTGTTTTCTTCATACTTAAAGCTCATATACTGTTTACCCTTTATTTGCTTTCTCACAAAAACTATAAATCAAAAGTTCAGCCATCTTCTACCCAAATATCACACAAATTTCAAATTATTAGCATGTCTGCAATTGGTTTTTGAAATATAAAACCTTTTACTGTCAAACAGTATGTAAGTATCTTTTTCCCATAGAGGGAGCCAACCTGTTTGTGAAAATATCCAGCAAAATCACCATAGGGTTCACCTTCATTCTTCTGGATATGAACATCATTTTCCCTAGCTTACCTCAGCCAAAATGTTTAATATAGAGTTTAGATTTTAGTTTCCTGCTATTCCTCCTTAGTATAATTGCTACTCTGTGAATTGCTATTACTGGCATGGCTTTAGAATTAGATCATTCCATGGAGACTCACATTGTTAGTGGATATTACTTTGCTTCAAGTTACCTAGTTATTCTCTATGGGAACCGACTTAAGTTATTACTGAGCTTTGGTGCTGCACAGGCATAAGCTCAACGTTATTGTTCACAAAAACAAGTTGAAATTAAAATTATCTGCTTGTGAAAACCCAAAATAATTATTAATGTTCCTGGGAAAGATAGTATAGAAATTTTAAAGGAGACAGCTTTCATAATAACATTAGTGACAGCACAAAAGAGAAATATGTAAAACATTAGCACAAAAGAGAAATATGTACTCACGGTTTCCTTTGTAAATTGCTCCATTTTTCCTAAAGGTTTAGAACCTGGCAAAATAAAATATGTCAGAAAGAGAGAGGGAGTGAGAGAGAGAGAGAGAAATAATTCACATGGAACTGTCTAGTCCAATTCAAGTACAAATACAGAAACGTTAAGTATGTGGGGAAAAAAAAAAAAAAACTCTGTCTTGATCCTAGAATCCCACCAGTCACAGACAATCAACATTATCTTTAGAAGACATATTCAGCTGAAGCAACTGCTAACTTTTACAGATAGTGGGTGACTCAGCAGTTTTGGGAGGCTCTGGCTCTCAAAGTTACTCAATATGACTTCAAAAAATGAAAGTAAGGTTTTTGGATGAAAAATTAGGGGAAAAAAATCGCACATATATAAACTATTGAGTTCACAAAAAATTTGAAAATAGGGCTGACTTCTAATATATATGACACAAATTATCCTATTTTATGTATTAATTTTAATGGAGAACAAAAGGAGGTAGACTTTTTTTTCCATAGGCATAGTTGTATTAGACTAACTTACAAAAGTGAAGCAAATAAGCAAAAAGAAAAGAGTGGGGTGGTCTTAGACCTTTCTATAAGGCTTTGGGGCTATCCATGACAAACTTCATTCCCCTTTAATACAATTTGAATAATCTAATTTCCATGATATACCAGAGAAGACTTTGATTCTACATTTGTGGTTTCCCCTGTTCTTGGATGTCACAGAAAAACTGAGAGTCCTTTACATTCTCTTCCTGAAAGTCTGGATTACTTTACTTTTCCATATAGCTTTATTACATTCAATCAAATTTAGTAGTAAAGGCAGGAACATAATTTTAGAGCGTGGACTATAACACATACACACTGAGGAACATTTGTCTGAAGTTGGGATAAGGAGGGGATATTATTTTATCTTTAAAAGAACCAACATCTATCAAATATTTAGATGATATTAAGATGATCAATTTACATTAATTTCTAATCATTAAAATTTCTGTGAGGCATGTATTGAGAAAACAGTCTCTAAAAAAAAAGTTTTATTCTATGGTAATCTGGTTTGAAAATATTTAGATAGTCAAATCCGTATCAATATGACTATCGTGGCACTCTGCTACTCATTTTTTTAGTCAATCTCCTCTTAGTCCATCAACATTATTCATTCTGTTTTCCTGTTCCAGAATCATCTTACCAAGAATGCCAAACATGTGATAACCTTGTGACCAAAGAAATCATATGACCCACTGTGAATAGTGCTGCAATAAACATATGTGTGCATGTGTCGTTGTAGTAGAATGATTTATAATCCTTTGGGTATATACCCAGTAATGGGATTGCTGGGACAAATGATATTTCTGGTTCTAGATCCTTGAGGAATTGCCACCCTGTCTTCCACAATGGTTGAACTAATTAAAACTCCCACCAACAGTGTAAAATTGTTCCTATATCTTCACATCCTCTCCAGCATCTGTTGTTTCCTGACTTTTTAATGATCACCATTCTTATTGGCATGAAGTGATATCTCATTGTGGTTTGGATTTGCATTTCTCTAATGACCAGTGATAATGAGCTTTGTTCTTATGTTTGTTGGCCACATAAATGTCTTCTTTTGAGAAGTGTATATTCATATCTTTTGCCCACTTTTTGATGGGATTGTTTTTTTTTTTTTTTTCTTGTCAATTTGTTTAAGTTCCTTGTAGATTCTGGATGTTAGCCCTTTGGAACCAACCGAAATGCTCATCAGTGATAGACTGGATAAAGAAAATGTGGCACATATACACCATGGAACACTATGCAGCCATCATAAGGGATGAGTTCATGAGTTCATATCCTTTGCAGGGACATGGATGAAGTTGGAAACCATCATTCTCAGAAAACTAACACAGGAACAGAAAACCAAACACCACATGTTCTCATTTTTAAGTGGGAGTTGAACAGTGAGAACACATGGACACAGATAGGGAAACATCACACACTGGGGCCTGTCAAGGAGGGGGGGATTTAGGGGAGAGCTAGCATTAGGAGAAATACCTAACGTGGATGATGGATTGATGGGTGCAGGTGCAGTAAACCACCACGGCACACGTATACCTACGTAATAAACCTGCACTTTCTGCACATGTGTCCCAGCACTTAAAGTCTAATAATAAAAAAAGAAAAGAAAAATACTTACTAATTCTATAATGATTATAAGAAAAATAGTATGGCCCAATCAGCAGAACTGATCAAACAGAAATAAAAGTGTCTTTTCAACATATGTGTTGGGAAAATTGCATATTCACATGAAAAATAATGAAATTGGACTCATACTATGTAAAAAATCAGCTGAAATGGGATTAAATACTTAAATTACAACCTGAAACTGTAAAACTCCTTGAAGAAAACCAGGAAAAAAGCTTTATCACTTTTATAATACATAATGAAAATTATATATTTAGAATTATTTTATATAATTTTACAAAGGCGGGAGTAATTTGGAGGGCTGTTGTATTTGGCCATGGCTATCACCTCTGGGAGAGTCTGTACTTTACATGGTAGTTTAATCAGCACTGAACAGCTTGCCTCAGCCTCTGCTCAGGCATTAGAGCAAAGTGAGCTGTTTGGTCTTGCCAATTGCTTCTTGGATATGGTACCAGAAACAAAGGCAACAAAAGCAAAAATAGACAAATTGGACTACATCAAACTAAACATCTTCTGCACAGCAAAGAAAACAACAACAAAAAAGTTCACTTATGGTTTGGAAGAAAATATTTGCATATATCTAACAAGGAGGTAAAATCCAAAATATACAAGGAGCTTCTTCAAATCTAAAGCAAAAATGAAAATTAGAAAATGAGCAAAGAACTTAAACAGACATTTCTCCGAAGAAGGCATACAATTGGTTAACAGGAAGAAGAAAAGATGCTCAACATCACTAATTATCTGGGAAATGCAAATCAAAGCCATACTGATAGAATGGTTATTTTCAAAGAAAAAAAAATGATGAGTATTGCTGAAAATGTGGAGAAGTTGGAATAATTGTATGCTGTTGATAGAAATGTAAAATGGTACAGCCACTGTGGAAAACAGTGTAGCATTTCCTAAAAACTAAAAATAGAATTATCACATAATCTAGCAGTCCCGCTGCTGGGTAACATCCAAAAGAATTAAAATCAGGATTGTAAGGAGGTATTTGCACTTTTGTGCTTTTATGTTTATTGCAGCACTATTAACAAAAGCCAAGAAATGGAAACAACTGAAATGTCTACGATAGGTGAATAGATAAAAAAGTGACATCTACATACAATTGAAATTATTAGGTCGTAACAACAAAGGGAATCCTGTCGTATATGGCAACATGAGTGAACCTTGATGAAATTATGCTAAATTAAATGAGCCAGTCACAGAAGGACAAATACTGCATGATATCACTTTATATGAAGTATAGAAAATAGTCCAACTCACAGAATCAGAGTAAATGATGCTTGTCAAAGGCTGAGGGAAGGAAACATGGGCATTAAATAGGTATGAAGTTTTATCCATGAAAGATGATTGAGTTCTAGACCTATGCAGTACAACATTGTACCTTTACACAATACTGTATTAATGTTAACAATACAGTATTGTACACTTCAAAATGTATTAAGAGGATAGATCTCACGTTAAGTTTCTCACCACATTAGAAGAAAAAGTGCGTAAGAATCACCATAGTCTTTAGAGCAAAGTTGCAATATGAAAGTCCACAGGAGACATTCAGGGAAAAGTACAATACATAAAAACTGGTGAGTTACTTCAGTTTTCTGTCACTGCAGGCAGCAGAGATTCATGAGAAGTTGGAATAATTGTTAAGTTTGCTTGAACAGTACTCTGGCTGCTACTCTGACATTCGATGACTTAATATTCAGTCCCACCCTGGACTCAACGTCCCTTGAAACTAACATTGACTCTTCAGTCTCTAAGCATGGTTTATGATTATTAGTCTATGTAACAGGGCATGTCCCTGAAAAAGATGGAAAGGCATGATGAAAAAGTCCTATACCTTGATGGTTTAACACTTGGACCTTTCACTTTCTTCTTGTACTTCTACAATCTCCCAAGAATATTCATTGGCTCTGATCACACAGAGACTCTTATTTAAAAGGACTCAGAAAAACAAAATGCATGATAAAAACCACAGAAGTATAAAAGGAGGTACAATCTATAAAACTGCATGCTCCAAATTCCCATCAATGATAGACTGGATAAAGAATGTGGCACATATACACCATGAAATACTATGCAGCCATATAAAAGAATGAGTTCCTGACCTTGCAGGGACATGGATATAGCTGGAAACCATCATACTCAGCAAACTATCACAGGAATAGAAAACCAAACACTGCACATTCTCACTCATAAGTGGGAGTTAAACAATGAGAACACGTGGACACAGGGAGGAAAACATCACACACTGGGGCCCATCGTGGGGCAGGGGGCAAGGAGAGAGAGAACTTTAAGACAAATACCTCATGCATGTGGGGCTTAAAACCTAGATGATGGGTTGATAGGTGCAGCAAACCACCATGGCACATGTATACCTATGTAACAAACCTTCACATGAATTCAAAAACTTAAAGTAAAAATAAAACACAATAAATAACGGCATGCTATGTGTTATAAATTGGTGCTGAGAGGTTACAGGAGACACTGTAGTGTTGGTTGCAGACAAATTAATTAAAGAGAAAACAGAAAAAGAGTTTTATTTTTTGACTAGAGAACTGCAAACTTGAGTAATAAGTAAATTTTCAAATAAAGTTAAGGGGTAAATAATCTTAGAGGAACTGAAGTGGAGTTAAAGTGAACACAGTAGACTGCAAAAAAAAAAAAAAAGTAAATAAACTTTTTATTTTTTTGAATTGTATTACCTAAACGCTCTAACCCACATAGAAGTCAAAAATTAGAGAGATTTTAAAATGAGAATACATACTTAGCAGTATTTAATACAGTTTTACAAGGAATAATGTGGAGGGCTGTTGTAGTTGGCCATGGTTATCACTTCTGGGAGGGTCTGTATTTTACACAGTAGTTTAATCAACACTGAACAGCTTGCCTCATCCTCTGTTCAGGCATCAGAGCAAAGTGATCTGTTTCATCTTCTCCTGGACTCAGAAGCTTTAAGAGATGCATTATATCCCAAAATTCTAAAGTCTTCTCAAGTGGAATCACTAAAATCCATACCTATTTTCTGTGGATCTTTTAGAGTTCAGCTTTTTCTGCTGATTACCAATAATGACAAATATTTTAACTTAAATGTAAAACTAATTTTTCTCATAGAAGTATCATTTTATTATTATAAATATTTACTTTTTGATTCTCCAGCAATAGTTTTCGTTTTAAAACTTCTCCAGTTTTGATTTCTAAATGGGTTACAACAGTAGATACTGTCATTCAGATAATTTTATAAGGCTTTTTGCAGTTTACTGTGGCCACTTTGATTTATCACTTTAGGCTTTCTAAGATTATTTATCCTTGGACTCTTTGTTTACAGAATTGCAAACTTGAGCAATATATAAGTTATCAAATGTATATTTTGCTCAAGTTTGTAATTCTCTAATCAGAGAAATAGAACTATTTTCCTATCTTAATCATCTCTCACGTTCTTATTTTATTATTTTTCTGTTAACTTATTTTGTTTTACTGCTCTGAGTAAGGAAACCCTAAAACTATAGGTTTTTAATGCACTTAACTATGTAATTGAAATTGGAAGACCGCTTAGGCCAATAGAAAATACATTGCATTTGAAGTTAAACTATCTGGTTTAAGTTCTGGTTCCAGCATTTAATGATCGGATGATTATTGGAAATTTACTTAAAATGTATTAAGCATATAATAAGGATCGTAATGACTAATACCTAGTCCGGAAAATCATTATATGGCTCAATTTAGGTGGCAGACTAAAAAGCACTTCGCATGTAAGTCTACGTAGTAAAGTAATTATTATTGGAAACTGATTTGAATAATGACAACTGCATATATTTATGCACTTAAATTTATACATTGAATCATTCAATTTTGAAAATCAGAATGTAAATGACATGGATCTGATATGGGATAATTTCTCATAAAGCTAACCACTTATGTCTTAAAGTATAATTTTGCAATGTATCATTAGCATATCTTACATAAAATTGCTTCATGCTCCTGTCCACTAATAATCACCTCTGATTACAGCAACCCTGAAGAGTATTATCTCAGCCTAAATTATCAGAAGCTTTACACAACAAGCATATTTGGTGACATGGTCCCACTCAGGGAAATAAAAAGAGCTCAGTGAAAGAATATAATTTCTCATTTGAGTAGAGGCAAGCAGAAAACAAAGCCAAGTGTGGAACTAAACGTATCATTGCCTTCAAGGTCATGACTAAACTATGAAGTTTAATTACTATATTTATGGTACTAGATTCTCAATATATTAATGAAAGCCCTATTTAACATCTAGGTCCTGTCAGTCATAGAAATCTAAGTGGATTACTTGTTGTATAGCTTTATTTTACTATTACAAACCGTCTCCATGGCCATGTGCTGTGACTCATGCCTGTAATCCCAGCACTTTGGCAGGCTGAAGCAGGAGGATGACTTAAGGTCAGGAGTTCGAGACCAGCCTGGGCAGCATGGTGAAACTCCATCTCTACTAAAAAAAAAAAAAAAAAACATTAGCCAGGCAAAAGTTATGGTGGTGAACACCTGACCTGTAATCCCAGCTACTCAAGAGACTGAGGCATGAGGTTTGCTTGAACCCAGGGAGGCTGAGGTTGCAGTGAGCAGAGATCATGCCACTGCACTTCAGTCTGAGGGACAGGGCAAGATTCTGGTTTTTTTTTTTTTTTTTTTTTTTTTTTTTAACGTTTCTAAGTGCAAATATACTATACATGTTATCTTTAAGCATCCTCTCCCCAATGCTTGCCATTCTCTGTTGAATAATATGGGAATGGTCTGAGTTTCCCTTTCTATAATGTATAGCTTCGAGAGATAAAGACTGTCTATAATTATTCATTTACCCATCCAGAAAACTATTATAGAGAGTTTCTATGGACAAAGCATTCTAGTAAGCATTGGAAATGTGGAGATGAATAAGGTAAGATACCCTCTTTAAAGTAGTATACAGATTAGAGAGAGATAAGATACATAAACTGTGACATAATAAAGTATAAAAGTCATGCCAAATAGAGGGTCCAAACAATGTGTTATAGAAACAGAGAAATGTGTGTTTACTGCAGTATGAATAGGCTGTAGAGGACATCATGGGATAGACAATATTTTATGCCTCTTTCTGGATTAAAAAAATAATAAACCAAGGACCTGTGTATGGTTGTATCCTAAATCAACCTCTGAGGACATTGACTAAGTCCACAGAGATAATAAGAATGACTAAACATCATTTACTACCTCTACACCAAAAAAGGAAGCACAGCAGCAACAAACACACTGAAAAGGTTAATGTAAGTATTTCAGTAAATATTCTTTGCTAATGAAGAGGTGTGTATTTGGTCTTATCTGACATGACGTGTGAATATCATTGATTGGAGCATGTGCTTTTTTATTGCTTCCTTTATCTCTTTATTCTTCAGACTACAGCTAATTGTATTGAAGAATGGTGACAGCACTGCAAACATTAGGCTGATGTTTGTGTCCCAGAAAAAAGGAGTACTTGGCAGAGAAGAGCAGGTACCTCAGGGCTACACTTCCAGAAAAGATTAAGAAAACAGCAACATGGGAAGCACAGGTAGAAAATGCCTTTTGGCATCCATCAGCAGAGCAGTTTCTTAGGATTGCTGCAATAATCTGGACATAAGCCAAAGTCACCAGCATTATAGCTGTATGATCTCCACAGCATGTACAATGTCCACAAGCTTGATTAATACAACTGTGCCAGTGTCCACACATGTTAGATTCAGGTAAATGAGCAGGAGGATAAAAAACAAAAGCCCACCCTCCTGCAAGCAAGGAAAGCCAGTGAATACACATTCAATCACTGCTGTCTGATTCTTATTTATCATCTTCTCAGCTGTGAGGCAAAAAAGAATAAAAGAGGCTCTAGTTTAGAAAACTAATTGGATATGCAATTTATTACATTTTTGTTTGCTTATTCAAATATTTAGCAAGTGCTTACTATGTTCCATGTACTGTATAATATGCTAGAATAAAGAGTCACCATTTTAAAAGCCAATATTCCAAATACATAAATTGCTGCATTTGTCATAGCCAGCCACATCATGAGATGCACCTCTGGTAGAGGTGACAACTGGGTGAAACGGACTCCATGAGGGTTCTTACCTTTGGTGGTTTAATCCTCTAGTTTGTGCTAGTTGGCCTCCTGCCAGGAGGTGCCACTTTGCAGAGAACATCAGTTGTAAAAATTTGATTAGTAAGTGCAGTGCAATTTTAGGTAAAATAAGTATATTTAAAGTTATCAGGGAATAAGTTAGCAGCTTCTGTCCTCTGCAAGCCAGAAGGCACGTGTTTCCTTAATCCCATGTATTCACTAAGAGCAAATTTACAAGGTAAGAGGAACATCATCAACACACAATGAACTTTTTTTTTTCCATTTTATTTTCTCTTGTTTTTCCCTCAGCTTGGATTTTTTTTATTACATGCATGAACGCACACACACAGAACTAGTAAAATTACTTTAATGTTTATAATTTAAAATGAAGGTATGTTTAATCACAGAAGGATTTAAGGCAGGGTAATAAAGCAACCAGATTTAAGTTGTAAGAATAGCTCAGTTTGCAGTGGAGAAAGAAGCTTGAAGTTGAGAAAGTATGGCTGTAAGACAGGTAGTGTTAGCTATATTAATTTTTAGGGATATTGATAATATTTAGGAAACTATTATTTATTACAAAACTTAAAAGTAGAGAGGACAGAAAAAATGGTGTGACCCTTTCACATAACGGAGCTTTATGTGTATCAGCTCTGTAACAATATTGCACTTACAATAGCATAAATTAGTCAATCAATTAGAAAAATAATGACATTTTTCATGTCATTTGAAGAACATTAAAAATATGCGGCTTAAACTCAGTGATACTTCTTGCATTTCTTTTTCCCTCGTCCTCCTGTTCTTAAACTAAGAAGTATCCTCTGAAGCCTTTCTTTTACCCAAACCCCTGCACCCACGATCAACAGCTTTTCTCTGATTATTCTTCTCTTCTGTATCCCAGACTTTTATTTGATAGCATTAACCCTTTTTATATGATCTCTCCTTAACTTTTGCCTTTCTGTTTGATTTTAAAATATCATGAGATTTAGGGTTAAAAGTAATGAAAGTGCTGCGGCACAAAGCGGGGGAATTCACACTGACAGCTATAGGATTTGTCTTGGCAGGCTAGAGAAGGGTGAAAATTTATTAACATTTGCTCAGTAATAAGCTTTATCCTATTCTGACTGAATCGTGAGCCCTGGAGAAAAAAATCACTTTTTATGAAGCAGGTATGATATGAAGACTCAGCAAGAGAAAGAAGCATCGATGAGGTAGGATAAAAAAGAGTTCATAATCCTAAAAGCCAAAGGAGAGCACTTGAAAGAGCCATTGCCTAATACAATTGATCGATTGTCTAGAAAATCAGAATGCAGCATGGTGGTATGTTGGTTTATTCATTCAACAAATAATTTTTATGTTTATTAATATGTACAATGCATTTGATCACAGTGAATGCAACATCTGGGCTTTTTATTTATCATGAAAAACTGATTATTTAATAAGTAACTTAATTAAATTGCTTACTGATTAATACTTGGATAATCAATTTAAAAATTTGAGTCATTCTTCAACTGTAGAAGCTGGAGGCACCACGGATAAAACCTAGTCTTTTTAAAGGATACTTTTAAAATTATCATGTCTTACAGACAAATATTTTGATTGCTTTAAAATTAAAGTGAATGTTTATGCAGAACATTTCAACAAAATCAATTCACTTTAAATAACTTGAGTGGCAGAAAGTTTAATAAAGTCAGATTGAAAAATATGTCTAGTTGAATAAAGATTAAAGAGAAGCTATTGACTTTAGCTATTAGCGAAAATTTTTTTTGGTGAGCGTTGGGAAACCAGTTTCAATAAAAGGCTGACAGAAAAAGACAGACGGTTGATAGCTGAAGGTGAAGAGGATCCAGCAACTATACAGAATCTCAGCTAAGATATCTTACCTGAGGTCCCTGGTCTTACCAAAAAAAAAAAGTCTTAGCTTGACCTATGTGCTTTTTTAGAGCGTCTTTTATTTCTTTATTCCTCAGGCTATAGATAATGGGGTTGAAGAAGGGAGACAAAACTGCAAAGGCCAGGGCAATGGCTGTATCCCAGAACAAGGAGTAGGTGGCAGAGAAGCGCAGGTACATGAGAGCCACACTGCCAAAGAAGAGCAAAAAGACAATGAGGTGAGAGACACACGTGGAAAATGCTTTGCGGCGGCCTCCAGCTGAACGAATCCGTAAAATTACAGCCATGATACCAATGTAGGACATGAAGATGAGCATCACAGCTGTAATAATTTCCACTGCATGGATGACATCCACTACCTGAATCATGACGATGGCTCGTGTGTCTGTGCAGGCCAGGCGCAGCACTGGGAGGAAGTCACAGAAGATATGCTCAAGGTGATTCGAACCACAAAATGGCAGTGTAGAGATCCAGACAATCTCAGGAAGGGGTGTGGTAAAGCCACAAACACAGCAACTTAAAGTCAGTTGGGCACATAGCTTGGGGGTCATGATAGTGGGATAATGAAGAGGGCTGCAGATAGCCAGGTAGCGGTCAAAGGCCATAGCTGTCAAGAGACACACCTCACTGATGCCGGTAGAATGGAAGAAATACATCTGCAAGAGACAACCATTGAAGGAAATGCTCCTTCTCTCACTAAGCAGGCTAGAGAGCATCTTTGGGATTGTGGCTGTGGTATACCAAATCTCCAGGAAAGAAAGAGCACTGATAAAAACATACATGGGAGTGTGCAGGTGAATATTCAGATGGACCACTGTGAGGATGATCAGGTTTCCAACAACAATGAAAGCATAGATGAAGAGCAATGGAACAAAGCAGACAACGGACTTAATCCAGGAATAGGGGAAAGCAGAGAAGATAAACTCCTGAGCAATGGTTCGATTGGGGCTCTCCATCTCCAAGCTGGAAGTGAGAGTTTCAGTTTCCAGCGCACTCAAGGCTTCCAGGAGGCATCGACTATTGGTTAAAGAAATACACTTATAAGAAGTCAGCCTCTGGATAGAGTCCTGTAATGGGGATATAAAGGGAGACAAGGAAGAAGGATATGGTCCAAATTCCACAGTTACTTACAACTTAAGTTGTCGTGTGGAAAAAAAAAATCAGAAAACACAGTCAATATTTTGGATGTGAGATTCTCAAATATTAACATGCATCAAAATCACCAGGAGGACTTGTTAAAACTCAGATTGCTGGTCCTCATAATGAGAGTTTGTTCCTAATCTATAGTTCTGAGGTAGGGCCCAAGAATGTTCATTTCTAACAAATTGTCAGGCAATGGTGGTGCTGCTGGTCAGGGGACCATATTTTAAAACCATTGTGTTTAGGCAATCATAGAATTAGACAAGGCATTCAAGGAATCACAAATAATTAAGACGACATTCTTTCCCATATTTAAATCTTATCTTCCCACACTGTTCCAAAATTTTTTTTTCTCAAGCTCCCAGTTTATTGGATTCTTGGCATATGATTTGAATGGCATATTTTTTATAATAAAGACAAAGCCATTACTGGTGAATTCTTTCAACCCTCTTACTTTCTCTGATAACTCTCTCTCTCTTTGTATGTATATTCTTAATCATAATTCGGAGAATATTTGGAGAAGAAAAGCTATAGAAATAATCATAAGTTATTTTACCTTCTTTTAAAAGATGGTCCATTCTATCTCCTTTGCTTCCTTCTTTTCTACATCTTCTTGGTCAGGAGATCTTGAAGGGATTTTGTACCAGAAGGCTTTGGTCAAATGAAGTAATTCATAAAAACTAACTATATTAATAAACAAATGCTTAATATAGTTATACAACTGCTCTGGTACAACTGAATGGGGTAGTTGGAAGGGCAGAGCTGCAGTGCCCTGTAGAATACAATTTAAACTGCACACATTATAGGATATTGCCCTATTAATTTATTCTCCTTTCAGAATGATTTGTTTTACTCTCTATCTCTTCTGCAATTAAACATGCACATTTCTTCTTATCTTGGGACAAAATGCTGTTTCTATTCAGATTATTTCCCTCCTTTGTGACAACTGCATTATTTCTCTAATTTATAAAAGGTATTTATTCTATTCATTCTTCTTTGAATCTGTTTGAATAATTTATCCACCCTCAACTTCCCATATCTCTCTTTTAAGGTATACCAGCAACTTTCTGACTGAAATGTAATGGTCTCCCTCTGTCTTCATTACCACTAGCTTCCAAAGATCAATTGTCCAATGCGTGATCTCTCTCCTTTTTTCCCTATTTGATGTCGAACTATCCTGGTTTTCCTCATTGATTAATTTTTTTTATCCCAAGTATAAAGATAAACCCAAATTTTGTCATCATTTGATCTTTTCTCTATATTTCCTTTCATACAGAAGAATCTATTCTTTCAAGGTCTTATTTATTCAAGATTATTTATCAACTTGTATTGGCCTTCTATTCTCCATAATTATTATGACTCCAGAATTTCTTGTTTTTGATATCTCTCATAAGCTCCACATTTTTTTCAGGACTCTTACTTAGAAACCTCACTTTGACCCAAGCGTACATCCTTACCTATTATAGGCTGTTAAATTGTGTCCCCTGAACATTTATAGATTGAATTTGTAACCCCCAGTATCTCAGAATGTGACTGTACTTGGACATACAGTAAAGAGGTGACAAAGTTCAAATAAGGAAATTAGGATGGCCCTTAATTCAATAGAACTAGTGTCCTTATAATAAGAGGAAATTTAGACACAGTTTCGGAGGGAGAACCATATGAAGTCTCAGTGAGAAAACAGCCACCTACTCAAAGTCAAGAAGAAAGGAATCAAAAGAAAGCAACCCTGCTGAAAACTCAATCTCAGACTTCTAGTCTTCAGAATTGTGAGAAATTAAATTTCTGTTGTTTAAACCACCCACTCTGTAGTTCTTCTTATGGCAACCCTCGCAAACAAATACAACACCCTTACCCTCAGCACTAAACCAGATTCTCTCACTGACTTTTAAAGTTTTTGTCCACCTGGATAGCAACTGTACTCATTTTATGTCTATTATTCCTTATACTCTAAAACCAAATTAATCATCAAGGTCTGTCTCATTTATTTATTTTTTACTATATCTCTAGTATCTTTTACTCCACTCTCTTTATCCTAATTGAATGCCCAGTCATAGTGTGTACACTATTGCAATGAGTTTCCAGAAATTTCTGCATCCAGTCTTAGTTTTGGCTACCCAAGCCTCCATTCTCTAAAAGTCAGCTTTGTGAAGCATTAGTTTCCTCTTGTGACTCTCCTCTCAAATCTATACTTAAGTATCATTTTCTCATCATTTTCTTCATCCAAATTGGCCCTTCTTTGTAAGTGAAACAATCTCAAATCCTCTAGGGTAACTCTTTCCTAATCGCTGAATCAGGAAATAATAAATCCCTTTTAATGTCTGGCAATGATCGTCTTGCTTTCCATATGCTTTAGGAAATGGAAATTTATTAATAACTTCCTATTTATATTAGCTATGCATGCATTTATTACTTGATTATGTGACTACATTCCATCAAACTCCTATTTCTTTTTACACATAAAAGAGAGCATCATCTTCCTTTAACATGATCCTAAAATTGATTTGTTGTTATTTTCTGCAGAAAATAGAGAGACCTTGTCTCCTGTTGCTATGGAAACTTGCAAATTATCTATCCAGTTTAGCAAAACTGTTATTTCAAACATGTAACATATGTTTTTCTGGTCTCTGAACATTCCTAAAAGGAATCTCTCCTTCCTCTCCTTTCCTCTCTAATTTCTGAATTTCTGCCTCCATTTTTCTTAATTTCTACATGTTCTTTTCTAGTTTTAACAAGCGTGTGTTTGTGTGTGTGTGTGTGTGTGTGTGCGCGCATATAGAGATGAGTGTGTGTGTTATATAAATATTCCTATAAAAGTATTTTTCTTTTTAAGTGTTCTTGAATTTTTACATACTCGTGATTTTTCCATAAGTCTTGATGTCTCTAAAAGCAGTCACCACATCAAACTATGGCCCTCAGAATAGGGTTTACAAATTGAATCAGGCTATGAGTTCAAGAAGGTGGCTTCTGAGCAGACCAAGACCTATTCCCTAGTCTTTTGAAGAATTGCAATTATGACAAAGAAATAATGAGGAAGATTTAAAACAAAAAGAAATAGATTCAACTTTACCTGTTGAACACCATCTACATGCAAAACTGAGTAATAATAAGTCTAGCACAAATGTCAATGGTATTAAATGCCCAACATATAACTGGAAATCTCACCTGATTTCTGCAAAATTTATTTCTGAAATATTTCAGAAGTCAATCACAATGCTGATTTGTGGTTTTAAAGATATCCTTTGAGCTTTGACCCTATTTGAATCCCACCCATTTCCTAGGACATTTAGTAACTGAAATCTTTACACTTTGTATTAACGTGCCCTATAATACTCTTTCCTAAGACGTCCTCACTCAAAACCTTCCCAACAGCTATTCTCAACATCTGTAGGCCTATTTGGACATCCATTTTTACACAGTTGTGTTATTCTTCCTCTAATTATTTGTTAACAAACTTGCTGCCATTGGGTTATGGAATTAAAATAAACATAGATGAAGACTATCTTTTCTACCCTGATATGGGGTATATAAAGCTACTAAGACCAACTTTCTTTGCTCTTCTGCCATGTTTCTGCCCTGAGTCCCTCAAGATGAATTTCCTTTATTCAGTGATATATAGCTCTGATTCTTTCCGTAGAATTCTTCTCTCTCTTTCCTTCTCCTCTCTGTCTTTATCTCCTTCTATCTCTTTTTCCCTCTGCATGTGTGTATGTGGATATCCTTTCCTAAGCATAACTAGAATGAGAAAATAAACTCTCTTGGGAATTCTACACAGATGACTCAAGATGTAAGTAGGAAAACAACTATCCCTATAATGGCTCTAATTGGGTAAAGCAGTTTAGGCTGGTAATTAGGGAAACCCTAGTCCCAGGGAACTCCGATTTACAGAGCTGTAGACATCAGAATAAATATTCTTTTTAAAAACTTCTTTTTTCTGTGGTATTTTTTGTTGGCTTGAATTTTTTATTTTTTTTTATTTTTCTGAGACAGAGTTTCACTCTTGTTACCCAGGCTGGAGTGCAATGGCGCGATCTCGGCTCACCGCAACCTCCGCCTCCTGGGTTCAGGCAATTCTTCTGCCTCAGCCTTCTCAGTAGCTGGGGTTACAGGCACGTGCCACCATGCCCAGCTAATGTTTTGTATTTTTAGTAGAGACAGGGTTTCACCATGTTGACCAGGATGGTCTCGATCTCTTGACTTCATGATCCACCCGCCTCGGCCTCCCAAAGTGCTGGGATTACAGGCGTGAGCCACTGCGCCCGGCCAGCTTGAATTTTTAATGAATCAAAATGCTAAATAAAATCCGTGACCAGACCTGAAGGATGCTCATACAGTAGAGGGAAGGAGATAACGAAAGGAGGGAGCTAGACTTACACCCTGTTTGTTTCCAGTCCTTTCCCCCACCTTAGAAAAAACTGTTGGTCCTCCACATGTTCCATCTACTAGTTCCTATTGAAATTTGGGGCCAATATTTTATCTAATAGTGTTGGTTTTCTCTTGTTTTACCTTCTTTATGCACAGAGGTCAGAGACATTTCTAGGCAGAGAATGACAGGCAGGGAAGTCTCCCAAGACTAAAGCAAATTAACAGCATTGTGTGCCAGTCCCATCAAAATTGTTTTCACTTTCTTTCATTTATTCATTAACATTTTGAGAATAAAAAGATTAATATGATTTGATTCCCTTTTTTTTTTTTTTTGAGACAGAGTTTCACTCTTGTTACCCAGGCTGGAGTGCAATGGCACGATCTCGGCTCACCGCAACCTCCGCCTCCTGGGTTCAGGCAATTCTCCTGCCTCAGCCTCCTGAGTAGCTGGGATTACAGGCACACGCCACCATGCCCAGCTGAATTTTTGTATTTTTAGTAGAGACGGGGTTTCACCATGTTGACCAGGATGGTCTCGATCTCTTGACCTCTTGATCCACCCGCCTCGGCCTCCCAAAGTGCTGGGGTTACAGGCGTGAGCCACCGCGCCCGGCCTTGATTCCCTTTTAAATAAAATCAATATCTAATATAGAATATAGAAATGCTAACAAATTAGTATTTCACAAAATGTTACTCTCCCAAGTAGATTTCAAAACAAAGTCCTGGAAGGGGGCAATTAATTGTCCCTCATTAATTCAGAGGTAGCTTGATCAAAAATAACTACATCTGAAAGAACATAGCTTCCTAGGATCCCCGACCTGGAAATCGTGAGATGAAGATCCAATTTCAGCTCTGTTCAACTCCCGAAGAATATCCTTTTATGTGGGTAAGGATCAGAAGAATGAAAAGCAGAAGGCCTTCCTACAGGCGCTGGTGTCAGTAGGGTGTGTGCTCCCTTCCTGTGCTCTGCAGAGCTGTCTCTGAGCAGGTGCTGTCTTCGGAAATCAGAATCTGACAGATCTTACCTTTCATTTTAGGAACGAAGTTCCCTGTTTTCCTTTTCCAGCCCCTCTTTTCTCTCTCTACTGATTTTTAACACCGTTAACACGTTTCTTACATAAAATTCACAGTCGAGGTCCTAATGTGCGGGATGTGTTCATTTTTAATCAAAAATATCTGTTATTCAAACCAAACAAACACACACACAACTATGTTCAGGAATATGACTCTTCCTATGCTTTCCTCCTGTTAGTGTTTTTCATGTGTGCTTTGGATGGGAAAGGGAAAAGTAAATGGGTGAATTTCTGTGAAATTTTTGTACTTGAGATGAGGAGGGGGCCATCAACATAATGAAGACAGCTATGCAATGAATTAATCAAAAGGGTCTGGCAATCCACAGGTAATATGGATAAGAAGAGTTGAAGATCAAAGACCAGTGGTTACAGACACCTTCAGAAAACATTATTTGTTGACAAAAAGAAAACTAGGCATCAGGAAGAGAAGCATCACACACAGGGGGCAGTTGGGGGGGGTGTAGGTTAGAGACAGCAGAAGGTGGGGAGGGATAACATGGGGAGAAATGCCAGATATAGTATGCACCTAAAGTTAAATTAATCAATTAATTAAAGAAAACTAGGCAAACTAAGTCGTTATACAGATGACCTTAATAATAAAAGATAACATTTATTAAATACTTACTATGGGTCAGGAACTGTACATACTATGTAAACTCATTTAAGAACTATGATTACACCAATTTTGTAAATGAGAATACTGTGGTATAGAGAGGTTAAGAATCCTGCCCAGTGACACATAACTAGTAAGCATTAGAATTAGAGTTCAACTCTAGAAGTTTAATGTCATAGCCTCTGCTATTCTTTACTGCCCTTGCCTCTGTTATTTGAACCGTGTCTTTTTTTTTTTTTTTTTGACAGAAGAGTGGCTACTGGGCTAAAACTATTGCTTTAGCTGCGTGCTCCTAGTCACAGAGAATGTTTCAAGAAAACCTACTCTCTGTCCCATGAGGGAGAAATGATTAACTACTTTCTTCTACCTGAAGAACGGTAATAAGAAGTATTTTACTTTTTCTGGAATTTTAATAGCATTGGATAAAAAAGAATAAAATATGGGATGCTCAGTAATCTGGAAAACAGCGGCGTGGTCCTTTGAAAGTAGGCAAATGTGGATGCTCTTGTAGGCTTTACAGCTCTTTAATTGTAATTGCTGACATTGTTTAAAAGGTGTCTCTAGGGCCGGGCGCGGTGGCTCAAGCCTGTAATCCCAGCACTTTGGGAGGCCGAGGCGGGTGGATCACGAGGTCAAGAGATCGAGACCATCCTGGTCAACATGGTGAAACCCCGTCTCTACTAAAAATACAAAAAATTAGCTGGGCATGGTGGCGCGTGCCTGTAATCCCAGCTACTCAGGAGGCTGAGGCAGGAGAATTGCCTGAACCCGGGAGGCAGAGGTTGC